ACAGTTCTTTCAATTATTTCTCTTAAAAGTACAATAATAAGAGACAACCATCTATTTTGTACCAAATGCACTACATTATTATTCTTACCAAGAAAGTTAGACGTGGCTAGGACTCCCTTTTCATCTTCAAGGCTCCGTTTATCAACTAAATTTGCTTTTTAAATACTTCAAGTGCCTATGTTTCTGTGGATGTTGAACGACGATTATCCGTTTGATTCGTCATTAAAGGTAAGAAGGCACGTGATGCTTTCATTGTTTGCTTTTGACTACATGTGTATGTATATAGGTCTGAGTGCTAGTTTGAATGTATAAGGAAGGATATGAGTGCATTGATGTCGAGGAAAATACAACCAACATCCGCACATCACACCCAAAGGAGTTGTACTTCACATCATTTCAACCATTTTCGACCAAACTGGAACCGGAACCGGAACCGCGATTCCGATTCCGGGTAATTTTTGGAACTACCGGGCTCTACTTTATACCCTTTACAGTACCACGGTGGCCAGTAAAATAAATATTATCAGTCTGATTATCTGCGTCTGCGTCACTAGAATAATAGTTCGTTCAAGTGCTCGCGAATTCTGACAACGATTACTCAAGTGCGTACCAATGAGGCTACGAATAAAAATGTAGCAAAAATAATGCTCATTGATATAATATTCCGTGATTCGAGAAGTTTTCCTTATCCACGCAACAGAAAGTGCGATCCTATCAATATCGATCATATTGAAAAAGAAAATTATAGGTCATCGCTTTGTTTTCTCCTTGTACGAATACAAAAGCTATGATACGAGCTTCTGAAATTTTCTGCAATGGCCAAGAATTATATAAAAACTAAATTGAAACATTGCATCAAAAATCAGAAATCAGAAAAATTTATTAGGTTTCAGGCCATAGGATCCAGGCGGACTCCAGCTGGTGAAAACGCGTTTACATGACTTTTGACCTCCTATACTACGTCACCAATGACTGAGTTGAATCGACTGATACCGTCAATATATTCCTCTAACTCTTACAATGGCATATCTAAAATGACAATCCTTAATACGATGTCACCTGCATACAACACCATAATCAACGTATATGCAGTCCTTATGGATCCCAAGTGGTGATATGAGGGTTAAAACTGAAGCGAATATTTGAGTATTTTCAAAATTTTTGAAAATTTTTTTTTTATCAAAAAATTCACCAACACTCACCCACCAGCATATTTAGGTCAAAATATGAATTGTATCAAAAAGAGGCTTCGGTAATGGCAAACAAGTTCGTAAGTTCTAAAATGATGGGACAACACAAAAGAGAAATATTTAAATAATAAAAACTGTTCTAGTAGCTCTCATTTTTTGACTCAAATATGCTGATGATTGAGTGCCAATGAATTTTTCGATGAAAAAATATTCTCAAATTTTTTTTTTAAATACTTATAGATTAGCTTCAGTTTTGATGCTGATTCAAAATAAGATATTAGTTTTGATTAAACCTTGATTGTTGTGATCGAAATCTGCTAAATATTAGAAAAAAAAACGCCAATTCATTTCATATCTCAACTAGCTTGTTTTCAATGGACATAGATTCATCTGAGAATAAAAATCTTTCTGAACATAAGTTCTGTAGTCCTAGAGTTACATATCTGCAAAATGGTTTCGGTCCTAACGAGACGGGAAGTGGGAGTTATTACTTTTCGGAGTGTGGGGATGGGCATGCGTATGAGTGTTGCTGTGGCTATCGGGTTAGTTCTTCTTTTTATCGACACCGCATTCGAGCCCACCTTGACCTACAACACTTACACCCTCTTATCTGAAAGTCAAGAACTGTTTTTCTTCAAACAAGTGTTATGACTGACGGTCACGAAAACAAGAATCTCGAAAAAATAGATCAAAGAACATCCATAGGCATTGTTTCCAATTCTGTACTAAACGCTGAATTATCAGTTGGATAGATCTGTGGAACTATTTTTTTCGCATAAAAAACTATTAACTTTGCAAGATTTTCAATGTTGATATGTTTCTAATAACAATAAATATTAACCAATAATCTTACTCTTAATTTTTTTATACTAGTTAGTGTTAGAAATAGCTCGAGCGCAACCAAAACATATTTGCTTTTATTTTAATAAAAGAATATTCTACATTAATACATGAAAGATTTTTTTTTTTCAAAATTTAATTTGGTTTGACTAGAAAATTTTATATACAACAAAACAAAGAACTGTTTAAGATATAACAGGCTTTATAAGAAGATATAATTCTTTAGCTTCATATGGATTATTCAAAACAATTTCAAGATCATATTGGTTTGATGTTGTAAATATAAATGTTTCACCTTGCTCAACTTGTAAAACATGTCGTTCACAATCATAAATAATTGCTGTTACTTGTGCATGAGTTTCATTTGACGCATCATGTCGATGTATTTTAAGTGTCCATTTATCATGACTACGTTTACGATAAACAACTTTCCAATCTGCAGTACGATCAATCGATGGAATAGGTGATGAACATGTTTGAACATCAACTTGAATACCGAAACGAAGTGTTGATTGAATATCAACACGATCACTAAAATCATACATGTATTCAATTAAAAATCAACTTATGTAAAAGCAAAGAAAAGAAAAGAAACGAAAATCCTATTTACGTTATATTCATTTCTGTATATTCTCGTGGTAAATACCATTCTAACGGTGAAAATTCTGGTTTATCATTATCTCTTCTTACTGATGCTAATGTATGAAAACGATAAGCTTGATATAATAAACGTTTAAATAAATCTTGAATTTGTTGATTATTAATTTTTTGATATAAAAATGATTGTTCAATTTGATATAATTGTTTAGGTAACATTTGTGAAAAACGTATTAATGGTAAAAGTTCACAAGCATATGATGCTATAAGCATGTCAGATGAACGTGCTAAGAGCCAATCACTAAGTGATGTATATAAACGATATTCATTCGTAATAACAAGATTTGATGTTGAAAGAAGTTCACGAATAAAATCAAATTCACATCGAAACCATTCATTTTGATTTATACTAGATAATAGATATTCCATATTCCAAGCAACAGTTTTAATACAAACATCACGTAAATCATCAAGAGAAAATTGTTTAGCTATTGAATACCAAGCAATACCATTACGAACATTAGGAGGTTTAGCTTTCATTATCATATATTGTGTACATAGATTACGAAGACTAATATATTTTTTGAATAAACAAAAATTATGATATAATTTAAAAAATTTTATATTTTAAATTTTTTAATACTTACGATTGTACATTATATTTATCTGCAAGACATAATAAACCAATGATAATGGATTCATGAAGTGTTACTTTTGCTGTATAAAAAAATTTAAGAAATCTATTTGAAAAATTTTATTTTATATTATATGAAGACCAAAAAAGAGATAATAGATTGAATTTACTTTTCAAAAACATCACCTTGACATTCATCTTGTTCTTCAAGTATAATTTCCGATTCATTTGATGTCCAATGTTGAGAATAAAGAAGTGTAGCAAATACATCACTTGCTTTAGCCAAAACAAATTTATGTACATAATAAACATTTGTACCAACACGAAGACGAATATCGGAAAATTGAGGATTATTAAAAAATTTACTAGTTAATTCCACATGTTCATTTGTTGCATTTAATGTTATTTCTGAACCATTTTCTGATATTAACGATGTTGAATGATCACTATTATTATTATTATTATTATTATTACTATTACTTGAATGAAACAGTTGTACACGTGGTACTTCTACATCTTGATTTCCTAGACTCATGAAAGGAATAAAATGTTCATCAAAAAAATCATCATCCATATTTTTTCGTATATTATAATCTATTAAAAACCATATCATTTATTATATGACAAAAAATATTTCTTAGATATATAATAGTAAGAAACCTATTAACAAAGAACTAAAGAACCTTTTTTACTTAATCATACGAATGCTCATTTGTTGTTATCACATGATTATTATTATGTTTATACTTATACAGAAAAATAGACAGTTATTTATAATAAATAAAAAGAAAAAATTGTATTATTGAAGGATTTCAATACGATTCTAAACGACTTCTGTGTTCCAACAAGCTTTTATTTGTAAAAAAAAATACTGATGTGATCCATTTTCAGTGAACTCCTTCACACTTAACGCTACAATCAATCAGTTTGCCTGTACTGCAAGATGTGACAACCAATGACATAACGCAAATAATATTTAACCTTTAGGATGTCACTATGTAACATGCGCATGATTCGTATAGTTCTATATTTATCATTAAAAACCATGTCACATCGTCCTTGGAATGAGAAAAAAAAAACATCTCCTGATCACGCGCTACAGCTAAAACGATTAATATGTTTCGATGTAGACCAGTCAGACCCAAAAAAAACTACTTAAGCATTTACAAGTATAGATTTATTTATCAGCGAAATTAAAATAGGCAAACATATATATATATATATATATGTTGTAGGCAAAATTGAAATTCAGGCAAATTTTAAATTTGCCTAGGCAAAATTGAAATTTTAATTTTGCCCAGTCAAAATTAGAATTTCAATTTTGTCTAGATATTGCTTGGGCAGAATTGAAATTTCAATTTTTCATAGGCAAAATTAAAATGCAGCTAGGAATAAATTCATACAATCACGTTCTTTATCAAAAATAAAAGAGACTAATATGGGTGAATAGATAAAAAGATTTTGTTGAACTGTATTCTCTTGGATTTGTTTAATTAAATGAAGAAATATTTTTCAATAATAAAGTTTTTCTATTCAGATTTTAATTTTTTCATTGTATGAATTTATTCCTAGCTATATTTTAATTTTGCCTAGGCAAAATTGAAGTTTCAATTCTGCCCAAGCAATGTCTAGTCAAAATTGAAATTTTAATTTTGACTAGGCAAAATTAAAATTTCAATTTTGCCTACAACATATATATATACAATATCAGAATAAAAACCAACAAACAATGACATCAATTAAGTTAATGATATTGATCTTAATAGTGGATTTTGTTTTCTTAAAACTGACAATGTATCCGTATAAGGTGAATAAAAAGAAGATCCAATTTGTGTAAATTGATCGAATGCTGTCGGTTTTACTTCATGTACTTCTTCACGTTGTGATAATTGTCTTAATTGTTCACGACGATCATCAATGATTTTTTGAATTATTTCTAATGGTATAACTGTTGCTTTAGCGTGTTTTGATGCAATAATACGACGATGTATATGTTCAAATGGTTTTACAGCATGTAAACTACGACTAAATACAGCTTGAAGACCAAATTTAATATAATCAAGTGGAACAAACCAAATAAGATTATAAATCCAAACAATTGCTAAAGAAAAATAAAATTCATTTCGTATATTTTTTTTTCGACTGATCTATATTATTTACCTGCCCATGTCCATCCGCAACCACGTATATCTGTAAATGCCCAATCAGCATAAACAGCAATAAGTGTTGCACATAATTGTGTTATAATAAAAGCAGCAATTAATAATAATGTTGGTCGTTCAGTAAAACAGAAACCATTTGAACGTGTTATAAATATTAAACCTTGACTTATTGATGATACTTGTAAATAAATTATTGAATGAAGATATGCATGTGTATAAGTATTATCTGATGTTTGTATTCCTGTATCCACGCCAAAATGATTTTGAAAAAATTTTGTTTGAGTAATAATTGAAAAAAAAACAACTGTTGATGCCGATAAATAAAGACCATAAATGATAGCTGATATAAAAATTCTTTGTAAACGCCATGCAGTTGGTTGTGGTGATGGTTCAACACGATCTTTTGATATTGTCATTATTGTACCATCATTTAATATAGCCATAATTAATATCATAAATGGTGGAAAATCATAACGAAATATAAATATAAGTAAAGCAAATGAAACAATAATACGTATTGTTATTGAACATGTGTATATAGCATAACTTGTCATACGAACAAAAATTTGTCGAGATCCAAGTATAGCATCAATAATAACAGAAAGACCTGGTTCAGTTAAGACTATAGCAGCAGCAGAACGAGCTGCATCACTTGCATTGGCAACAGCAACACCAACATTAGCTTTAGATAATGCTGGAGCATCATTCACTCCATCACCTTTAATTAGAAAAAAAGAAAATATAAAAAAAAAAACACACAATAAAATTTTACCAGTCATAGCAACAAGATGACCCATATCTTGAAGTCTTTTAACTATTTCAAGTTTATGTTCAGGAAAAACACTAGCAAATCCATCAGCATTAAGAATTATTTCATTTATTTCATTTTCACTATTTGATGATTTATCTCTGTCATGAATTAAATTTTCATACACATACATTGTATCACCCATACCTAAACGACGTCCTGTTTCTTTAGCAATTTCTAATTGATCACCAGTAATCATCTTTACTTGTACACCTAATGAAATAAATTAGTTGTTATAAAAAAAAAGAAAAATAAGAAATTCAAAATAACCTAATTCAAGTGCTTTTTTTATTGTTTCAGCTGTATCATTTCTTGGTGGATCAAATATTGGTAAAAGTCCAATTAATTTAAAATTTTCATTTTCATTCGATAAAGCAACAGCTAAACCACGTAAGCCTCGATTAGCAAATTCATTAACATCTTGTCGAACTTTATCAACTTGCACTGTTGCTTCACATAAACGTAATATAGTATCAGGCATACCTTTTGATACTCGATAAATTTTTGAATCAGATTTATCTTGATAAGTTACTTCGGTACGTTTTGTTGTTGGATCAAAAGGAATAAATGATTTAACTATAATCATATCATTTATTGAATCAGCATTACCATACGATTCTAATACACATGTATCACTAAAATGTAAAATAAAAATAAAAATATAAAAATATATATAATACTTGTAAATTCAATATACATTGCATCAGGATTTTCTCGATTACAAGCATAAGCAGCATATCGAATGATATCATCATTTTCGATATCGACATATTTAGTAATTGTTTCTCGATCAATAATTAATTTATTAAGTGTTAATGTACCAGTTTTATCTGAACAAAGAATAGTTACAGCAGCAAGTTCTTCGATAGCTGTTATTCGAGTTACGATTGCTTTATGATGAGATAATTGTTTTGCACCAATAGCAAGTGTAACTGATAATACTGTTGGCCTAGAAAATTTTAAGAAAATAAAGTTATTATTTTCTTTTTCCATTTTGTTTCTATTATTATTCTTTACATTGCAATAGGCAATCCTCCAATAAGTAAAACTAATATATTATTAATACCTCGTCGATAACTATATCGAAATCCAGCATACATAACAATTATTTCAGCAATTATAAAAATAGAAATACCAACAATACAAAAATTACCAATTTTAGCTAAAATTTGTTGTAAATGACCCATTTCATCTTTTGATCCACTAACAATTTGAGCAGCACGACCAAATTGTGTATATTTTCCTGTTGATATAACTATTGCTTCACATTCACCTTGTTTACATGTTGTTGATGAAAGTAATATATCACCTATTTCTTTTGTTACTGGTAATGATTCACCAGTTAATGCTGCTTGATCAACTGATATAACTCCACCTAATGATGATATTATTCGAGCATCAGCTGGTACAATATTACCTAATTTAATAGCAATAATATCACCAGGTACAAGTTGACTGGCTTCCATTGTTGTCCATGAACTATTATTACGTTTGACACGACATTCAGGTGCTAATGAAGCCATTAATGCTTTAACAGCATTACCAGCTCGATATTTTTCAATATAACCAATTGTAGCATTAATTAAAAGAAGTAAAAGTATACCAACAAAATCAGGCCAATCAGGTGGTTCACCATCACCATTACTTAAAGCAATAGAAACAATAGCAGCAACTTCCATTACCCTAGAAAAAAAAAGATATGCATTTTAATAGAGTATGCTAAGAAAAGAGAAAAATGTACCAGGAAAGCGGATTCCACATAAAAAGAAGAAATTGAATAACTGGATGTCGTTCTTTATGTTCAATTTTATTTTCACCAAACTAACAACGATAGAAAAAGCTCAAGTTTTTTGTATATGACAATAAAAGTAAAAATTTACTTTTTCGATGCGTTCATTAACTTGATCATCAGTAAGACCTTTTGGTGATGATCTATATATATATATATATTTGAATAAAATCAAATAGATATCATAGTAGATTATTGTATTTACTCAAGTATTTTATAAACAGTATCTAAATCGAATCGATTTAAATCACATTTTTCTTTATCATACAAAACTTCAATATCAATCGTTTTCCAATTTCCATCCGGTGGTGATGGTGGTGGAATATTAATTCTTGTTTCGTTTTTATTTTCATCTTCGTTCGGAACTTTCTTTTGTTTTTTATCTTTGTCATTCACTAAAAAACAGCTTACCTTATTATTGAAATGTTTCAATATCAATACGATTTACATACTTATGTCTAATGAGTATTGTTTATTTAAGAATGATAGTTTATCAACAATCGGCAAGACTTATATTCTAAATTTGTCTCTTGTTTGCACACGTTGAATTATTAAAATATAAAGTCAGGGCTATGAAGTACATCGTCACGATTTTTTTTCTCTTCGTCTTTACTTGATGATTTCTATGTTTATTTGTCGTTTTTCGATTCAGATGTGTACGGATACTGCTTTCTTCTCCTTGAACTCTAATCATGAGTATAAACGAAATGGTACCATTAATGTGAAAAATTAATTTATTCATTTTAACATTCTCATACGTATTTGGACTATATTCTTCATACGAAAATAAATGCAAGTAGATAAAATAAACTATACGTGCATTTGATTTTATTAGTAGTATGATATAAAAATTAATCGATATTTTACAACAGTTGTAACTGCTAGTAAATGAAGAATTCTAATTGATCATACATAGGATTGTATAATAAGAAAAGAGCATATGAGATATTAGGTCGAAAAAAATTGCAAAAAGGTCTCTCTACTCAAAAATTAAAAGGCAGAAGAATTTTCATTTTTAATGGAATATATATGACTCAAAAATAATACAGTCTAATTCGACTATTCGAGAGTGTTCTGTTGTCGCCACAGTTGAAAGGAGGTAGGTTGATAATTCAGGAAATAAAATGCTGAAACTCTGCTGGAGAAAAATGAAAATTTTTCAAGATTTTGAAGATCATTCCTTGATTCTTCTTCCGATTTTATATTCCTCATATTCGAGATATGAATCACATGTTCAGACATGTGGTATTTCTTCCTGACAACTCTCACTAATGAATAAATAAGTTAATGTGACTGAGTCTAATCTATAATTTCTTTCGATAAAATCGATAGTTTTAAGGATATTTAAAAAAAAACTGATTTAAAAGATATTGTGCAGTTGAAATTCAATAGTAAGTGAATTAAGTTTATCACAATAAGTCTGTGTTATACGCATTTAATAAAAGGCAATCAGTTTCTTCTCGTTTCTTTACATAAAATGATTTCTATGGATTCCCTCATCAACTGATGTTTATATAATTCAACTATATGACTATTATATTAGTTTAAATTGCAATGAGTTGTTGTCTAAGTAACAATAACGATGCTATAAATATTACTTTTTATTGTTCTTGAAAGATGAACAAATCGAATATGAAAATGAATAATTATAATTCGAACATTTGTGCGTAAAATACAAAATCGAAAACTCAACAAATATGTTCTTTTTGCTTATGTCTCAATGACGTCTTTTACTGATCATGTGAAAAATAACATATTCTATTGAGCTTGTTTGTATTTAAAATTATATCTAAAGTTATTGTCTTGATTTTCAATGGAAACAGAAACAAAGAATTTAATACAACATTTAGTAGCTTATAGTTAAAAATAATAATTCAAATACTATGTTTTCTTTAATTTATTAAAAACAACTTTGGTCGAAAAAAGTTGTCAACTTTCACATGAAATAATCGAGATTTAAATGTTTTAAAACAAAAGAGATTGATTATATTTCTATAGTTTTATAAGAATATTGTGTTTCGAAATATTTTTATATTGGTCAAATATATTGTAATAACTCGGATGATTCTTATTAGATGTTTGAAGAAAAAGCTGTAAATCTCGATCATTTCAGGTTAAAATCAGCAAATTTTTTGGACAAAGCTGTTTTACGAAAAATTGTTCTCTTGAACATACGTATTAGGTTAAAAGTGCAATTAGTACTCAGATATTATTAAGAACGAAAATTTTGAAGGACAGAAACATGATTTTACTAAACATTGCTTCACTTTCTCGAACGCTGGGTTAAGCATTTTTTTTTGAGTAAATTATCAAAATTTCTTTCTAAGCGAATATATGAAAAATTTTCGGCTGTGGTGGAAAAAAAACAAAACGTTTTCTTGATTGAGAGTGGTCACTCTCTCTCTTTCTCTCCTAATCGGACCATTCTTGATGATGCATCATAATCATATAAAGTTTATTTTTACATATGTTAAGATGTCTAGTTGAACTTTTATTGCAAGATATTGAAATCTTACATGATTTCTTTTATTATTTCTAGCGATAAACTACACATATATTCAAAGTTTCCTATGAAAATGAATCTAAAGCGAGATTCATTTATATCAATCAGAAATTACATATTATCGTATATTTGTCATTCAATAAAAAAGTCTCCAGTAAACATAGAGATAGCAATCATTTAAAGAACATATATTTGTTTTTAGCATAAAAATTATTTTCTCCTATTCGAGTATTTTAATATTATACAAATAAAATCTTGTAAATTCTAATATTTCATTCATACTTTGATTAAAATTTTTATAACAATCCATTTCAATAACAAAACATTTTTATTTTTTATTTTTTCACATGTCTATCTCATTGAGAAGACAAAACAAAATTTTTTACAACTGATTGTGTATCAAAATGTGTTTTAATACCAACAGAAGCAAGTTCAGCAATAAGATATTGTAATACATATGGTATTGTTACACGTTGTACAGTATTTGTTGATGAACCACAACAATATCGACATACATAACCAAGTCTAGTTTTCACTAATGATAATAATGATCCGCAACGTGTACATACATATGCACGTGTTTCATCTGAACAATGAAGAAGACGATCAAGAAGAATACCAGCAACACCATGACCAAGTAATGCATCACGTTCCATTTCACCAACACGTATACCACCTTCACGACGACGACCTTTAACTGGTTGATTTGTTAATGCATCAACTGGACCAGTTGTACGAACCTATTTATTTTTCAAATAGAAAAATAACAAATATATTTCTTTTATTTATATTGCAAAAAAACAAAAAAAAAAGAAAATTTTCCTTACTTGAAATTTATCACTAACTAAATGTCGAAGACGTTGATAATAAACAACACCAATAAATATATCAACTTCAAATTGAAGACCAGTTGTACCACTATACATTGACTCGGTTCCATAATAACTAAATCCAGCTAAAAACAAAAATCATTATAAAACAAAAAAAATAAAATCTTGTTTATTTTTTCTTTCTAACCAGCTTTTAATAATTGTCCATAGTAATCAACAGCTGGATAATCATCATTGAATTGAAATGGTGTACCATCATGAGATAAACCATGTAAAACAGCTGATTTTCCTGCCATAAATTCTAATAACATACCAATTGTCATACGAGATGGAAAACCATGTGGATTAAATATAATATCAGGTACAAGACCTGATTCTGTAAATGGTAAATCTTCAGCTGGATATAAACGTGAACAAACACCTTTTTGACCATGACGTGACGAAAATTTATCACCAATTATTGGTGTACGCTAAAAATAAATAGTTTTTTTTTTTCATAAAGAAAATTAGCAAAGTCATTTTATTCTATCGGTTTTTGTATATTATTTTTTTCTAGTAATACAATAAGGAAGCATGTTATATATTATAACGAGATGTTATTGATATGTACGATCTGTGAATGTAACTAGTCACATTTAATAAACGAGACAAGATGTTTTTCTCTATTTAGAACATAATTTAGTGTAAAAAATCTCTAATATATTTGAAATTTCAACGAAATTTGTATCAAAAATTTTTAATTTTTGACCGTCACAATTAGACGATTGAGTATGTGTTTGTTAAAATGAACTCTCTTCCCTGCCAAAAAAAAGAGAAAAACATGTTGTCCCATCTATTATTCATCATCCATTATATCAATAATGTTCATTGCGATTTGTTAGAAATCCATATTTTTAGTCTTACCATAATACGATACATAATCCATGCTTTTGATTTTAATAATTTTCCATCTTCATCACCAACAAGTGTAACTGACATAATATGTGCTGGTTCTTTTTTATGATATCGTATTGTTCTATATTCTTGTGTTAATGTATTTAAATAACAACAAAGAACTTCATCTGGTTGTATAGTTGAACCAATAACAGGTAAACCATCAGCATCTAAATGACGCCAATGTGGATTTTTTGTATCTAATGCTAGAAAAGAAATAAATAACAACAATTTAAATTAAATTTATTTATTTAATAAATTATAATACTAAAAATAAGCGGATGTTTGCCTTGATCAATTTTATCAGTAATTAATTCTTGTAAATCGATCATCTAAAAAATAAAAAGAAATTTTATAGTTTACATTTCAAAAAAAAAAAAAACAATTCTTACTTCAGATGCATATATAGCACCATGAGCAAAACCTCGTTCAATTGAACTTTTATTTATAACCATAGCATCTTCCATATCATATCCCTAAAAATTATAATATAAAGCTTTAATTTTTCAAGATTTTTTTATTTTTTTATTTATTTACTGTATAAGAAAGTACAGCAACAATAGCATTTGTACCCATAGCATAATCATCAAGTGCATATTGATTATAAACACGTGTTCGTACAAGTGGTGCTTGTGGTGTTGTAATATAATATAATTTATTATCATTACGTTTTCTATATGCTAATGTTGGTGTACCCATTGTTTGTTTACCCATTTGACATTGATACATATTACGTGGTGATTGATTATATTCACTAAATGGTGTTAAATTAGCTGTTATTGATAAAAAATTGTATTGTTCTAATTCTTGATGAGTTGTATACTAAATATGAATAATAGATTTAGGAAAAACAAATGAAATATTCTTACGCCTGGTGCAAATTCATCATGAGTTATACAAATTCCGAGATAAACTTGTTCAAATGTACCAATATATTCCGTTGTTTTTGTTATTAAATTCATTACTGGTCGTATCATTCGTGCTGGTGTAGTAAAAATAAATAAAGCTGGATAAAGTGTATATAAACCATGAATTTCTTTTGGAATTAAAACAATTTCTATATATTCAGATACACCAAAACGACGACGATTTCCTGTTACTTTATCATAACGAAGTTGTGCAGCAATTAATGATGCTCGATTATCATCAATAAATCTATAGAAATATTTGTTTTTATTAAATAAAATTAAAACGAGTCAAAAAAAAAACAAAAGGTTCTACATACCCAACAACTTGTCCATCAAGAATAACATCATAACAATCAATATCAATTGATGGTACACGTCGCATACCATATGAAATTAATGTATCAATAAGAGCTTCAATTGATGTATTAGTTGCTGTTTCTTGTGTTACTTGACATGTCATACATAGATGATTGAGTAAACCACATAGAGAACCATCAGGAGTATGAACAGCACATAGAAAACCCCATGCTTCAGGAAGTAATTTTCGAACTGATGTTGTTTTTGTTTCAGTAAATGCATCACCACGATGAACAGAACGGAAATGTGATATAAATCGAAGAATATTTAAACGTTCAGCAATAATAGAAAAACCACTTGTCTACATAAGAACAAAAATTAAAAAAAAAAAGATTTTTATTTTTCAATTATAAAATATGAATTTATTGATTGATACGAATGTCTGTACAAATGATTCTGCGTTGAATCAAATGATAGCAAAAATCAAGTTTCTTAATGCAAGTAAAGGGTTTAATTTAATGAATACTAATGAATAATACAGAAGTCTAGAATTCCGAGATGTCATTTCTGAAATATCGAAATTTTTCTGAATGTCTCAATAAAAGTCTATGTATCCTCAGATCATGTGGAAAATCGGTTTTCAAGCTTCGCCTTCAGATTTTCCATGAACAAGTGTTCTCAATGGCATTAGTTCATTGGGCAAGTTTTAATTTTTCTAATATATCCTTTCTGAAGAAATCGATTTGACACATACATAGGTTCTCTCGTTAACGTAAGACTTCTGAGACTACGATCGTTTTAATTATTTGACCTAGTTAATAACACGACAATATTTTGAAATCTATTCCTTACTAACTATGTGTCAGAAAAAAAATCAATTGAATACTTAAACTAATTCGATTGTGAAATTTTTTTTATTAATGGAAGACCTTCGTGTTGTTTTTTTTCTTATAGATTTTTAGAAATTCATCGTACTAATAGTTATTATTAAATAAAAAAAAATGACAGAAGTAGAGTTTTTCGTATCTTAATATTCCTATTTTCAACCAAAGATTTAAATCCTGGAAGGCGTCCAACATTCGCCTGTCTTTAAAAACTATTAACACAATGACCTCACTCCGTCTTGACTACGGTACTAAAATTACGCCTATGTCTACAACTCATCTATTCAATAATATTAATCTAATTACAATAATAATATCAAGTTAATCATTTTTCATCAATGAATATCCTTTGTTGTCATTTTTCGAATACTTTAAATTCTTCTAATATCAAAATGATTATATTAATTTCATATCTACATCGAATAATATATAAATAGAATGAACAAATTTAATTAAAATTGTAACACTTGTATATTTTCTTTTTCTATTAAATCTTTAAACAAACTAATTAATTAAATATTTTTCAAACTATTTTTTGTTCTGTAGTTTAATTAAAGAATCTTTTATAATTGAAAACAAACCTGTCTTAAACCAAGATTTGTTTTTGAATTAAGATTTCCAGTAGCTAAAAAATGTTCAAAAGCTTTAGCTATTTGATCTTTATCAATAGTATCCATTGCCAGACGAAGTTCTGTAAATAAATATTTAAAAAAAAAACAAAAAATATGTTTGAAATTACATAAATACACTTACGTACTTGTAGGTATTGATGTATCGTTTGATGTTTTACTACTTTTATTTAATTTTAAAAATGTTTCACGCAAAGATATTAACCATGTTTCTAATCGTTCCTTCAAAAAAAAAAAAGACAAGTTTTTTAAATAGAATTTGAATTATTTAAAATATTATTTACTGATAATAATGCTAAATAAACATGTCCAGGTAAAAGAATTTCATGCATTGATGGTGCATCTTGATCTTCAGCTTTACATTCATCACGTACATATGAAAAAAGTTTACGAATCATAAATCTAAATAAAAATAAAATCTTGATTTCTTTTAATTAAATCAATAATAATAATTATAATACATACATTAACATATTAAATTTAGCTTTATCATTTTTTAAATGAATTAATATATAATTATCAATTAAATAACGTGTAATATCAGCATTTGTATGCCATGATGGTCGTTGTAAACGTGTACGAAAATGTGAACCAACATAATCAATTATAGATTGACGTGTTATTAATGGTTGTTCACACCAATATGTTTTTTGTAATTGACGAAGCATATATTTAATATTACTAAAAAAACAAAAAAAAGAAAGAAACTCAATAATTATTTTCAATGAATTAATTTTATTTATCTTACTTATCAAAAGCACTATTATTTTTATAAGCACCACGCATGAGACTTGCATGAATTTCTCGATCAGATGTATTATCATCGGCTAACATCTATCAATATCATATTATATAATATTTAGTCAGTTTGTTAATTAAATAAAAATTTATTTCCATTGAACCATTTTTTCTCTTGTCTGAAGATTTACTTTTCGTTCATTATTTAGACGACTATTCAGTGCGATAATCAATGTATTGTCAAAACAAATTTTTCAAACGTAAAAAAACTTTTCGTATTATTAATTATTTCGAAACTCAACATTTTCCAATAAAAGAAAAAACATGTCAAATTCTCCATGTCCAAACATTTATATGACGATTAGTTAACTGTACAAAGAACAATAGAGTTAGTATATTGATTGTAAGAATATCGAGATGACATAGAAACCAGAGATGTCCATCGCGGCGCTGCCGCTGCCGCGATGGCGGTGGCGGCGCGGCAGCGGCAGGTCTTTTAAAAAATCACCGCGGTAGCGGTAGATTTTTTAAAAAGTCATCGCGGCAGCGACGCGGTAGCGGCAGGATTTTTTTGGAGGACATTGAAAAACTGTATGAATTTAATAGAATTTCAGGATTTACAAATGAAACGCCCTGATATTGAATAAATCTGATGGACTAGTACCCATATCTCTGGTCAAATATAGTCACAGCAGTGAAATTAGAAACACTTTTTGGAAAACCGTCGCGGCAGCAGCGCGGTAGCGGCACGTTTATTTTATGATTCATCGCGGCAGCGTTTCTTTTATAAGTCATCGCGGTGCGGCAGCGTCGCGGCAACATTTTTTTATAAACCGTCGCGGCGCGGCAGCTTTTTTTTCTAAGGCCGCGGCAGATTTTCAGCCGCGATGGACATCTCTGATAGAAACACGCACTGGAAAAGCGTTTTTAAAAGCTGCTAGACCAAGATATTTTCCAGGTCTATCAAAAAGTTAAATACTCATCTCTTTTTGTTTTGACAATACAATGATTGCTAATTTCTCTTAGTCCAAATAATCAACTGGCAGTAAATCCTGTAAATCAATGATTAAAATTAATAGAAAGTCTTACTTTGAGAATCATAACAACAGGAATAAAATACATTTCTTTACGAAACATAAAAGCTAATGTAATGGCACCGGTATCCAAATAATGAAGTGTATTTTCCTATTAAAAATAAAAAATATTATAAATGTTTTCGAGATATTAACTCTAACTGTAAAGACTAAAACGATTACAGGAGTTTCTAATAGGAAGCTGCAAGTCTGCATTTTTGTAGATCTGAACTTATTGTTTCTTATTATCTACTCATAGTATAATATTGTTGAGATTCGATTAATTTCAAAATTTTTTTTCAATGATTAATTTTATATTAGGATTCTGTCTTCCACAGTAATGATCAATCGAGAAAAAAAGAAATGAACAAATTGAGACTGTCTGTTTGGTAATCATTTGTCATTATTATCTTTCGAGAAAAGAAAAAAAAACATATATATCTATACATACTTCTACAACTATATGAGCGAAACTCTTTTAGTCTTTACTTAAAATCAAAAGCTTGACGACAATAGAAATTGTCCTCTTTTTCTTAATAGAACACAGAAACTTACAATGCCTCGTTGATCATCTGATAAACAACGAATTTGAAGACCACGATCTGTAAATCCTGGACCACGTTGTCGCCATCGTCCACGAGACATTGCCATAGGCTAAAAGTTGAAACAACATAATTGTAAATTTGTGTTTTTTTTTTTACGAACATAGTTTCGTCTTGTCATGGTTAATAAACGTAAAATACGTTCATATCCTTTAACTATAAAGTAACCACCAGTTTCATTTGGTTCTTCATATTTAGAACATAATTCTTTTGTATTCATATTTGCTAAATTACATGCATCACTCTAAACAATGAAATATTTTTTTTTTCTTCAAGGAAAAAAAAATGGGTATTCTTTAAATCCATACTCGAATCATAACTGGTATTGAACCAAGATTTCGATCATATGATTCACGTCCAATTAATTTACCATTTTGATCAAAAATTTCAGCAAGAATACGAGCATGTAGTGTTCCTGAATAAGTACCTTTACCCATACGAGCCTAACAAAATTTATTATTTATATTGTTTCTATTCGAAAAAGAAAACATACTTCAGCAGGATATACATAATGACTTAATCGATTAGCACCGGCAATAACTTTTACTTTAGGTCGAGCAATTTCCAAACTCTACAAAAAAAAAGAGATTTAAGTGAGAATTATAAACGAAAAACTGCAAAAAGATATGATTTACATACAATAAATTTTAATTTAATTCGTAATTTTGTATTTGTTTCAAATTCTAATGGTAAAATGGTCTAAAAAATATACAATAAAATTCAATTTAAAAATAATGATTTTTCTACTTACACTAGCAGCTTTCATTAAACCTTCTTTAAGCATCCAATTAAAGGAATCGACATGTGGTCGAGTAATATCACATATAGACTTAATTAAATAAAAAGATTTAAAAATATTATCAAATATTATCAAATAATAATATATTATATAAACCTGAATTGGTCCATCTTTACGATTGAATGTTTTAGTTAAATATTCAAATGTTTGATCTTGTTGACGAACTAATGATGATGTTGTTATCGATGTATTCTTTTCACGATTCTTTTTACCCATTTTAAAAGAACAAAACAAAAATCTAAGAAAAACTATAATAATTGAACGAAATAAGCTATCATATCCATAAAATATCTAATCCGATAGATATTGGTCATTTCATTTCATCATATCATCCAATCAAAGAACAAGCATGTTTATTCTTTTTAGTTTAGTTGTTTTTCAATCATTTGCAAAAAATTTCTCATATAGATAGAGAACTACTAATTAAATAAATAGTTGATTTTCATATTAACAAAAACTATAATAAAAACTGTTGAGTAATGCTAATCATTTTTGCCTGTCATTTTCTTTCAATACAGTGCAAAAAAAGAAAGTCGCATGGAATTGTGTTGAAACCAAAAAAAAATGGCGACGAGAGTGAGATTCGAACTCACGCGGGCAGAGCCCATTAGATTAGCAGTCTAACGCCTTAACCGCTCGGCCATCTCGTCTGAATATAGTATTGATAAAAAAATATCTTGAATGGATCAATGCATGAGTTTTTGTCAAGTATTTCAATAAAAACCTATAAGTAACACAATGCATATTATCGAACTAAACCTACTGAAACATAAAAATCAGATAAGACATTGATATTAAGACTTGAATTTTATTTTAACATAATTTATTGTATTATAAAAAAATTCTATTAGTTAGAAAATATTCTAAAATAGTTTCTATGAACGTTCGAAAGACTACATATCAAAATGTTTTTTATCATACGACACAAATAATGTGATTGCTTTCTACACAATTTATAATAATTCTCAACTTGATAATAAAGACAACAAATATACTTGAGAGCCTGTTTACAACTCAAACACGTCACTTGACGACTGTATCTGTATCGATTGGATGTAGTATGACTTTGTCATGAATTTCAAGTACTTTGCTGATTGATTTGTAGAAATAATGTTTTTGTACTGGATATATTTAAATGGTCTACCTTAACAATAATCGACTGTACTAAATATATTGTACGTGCTGCAACTCATACAACTTGTTGAAATATTTTCTGTTATGAGTAGCTTAAAACACTAGTGTTCTCTTTATATTTACAATTCGTCTGAAAATTAGATGTCTTGGAAAACGACAATTAATACAATTAAATTTCTTTTCAGACGAAACACAACATGTTACTTTTGTATTTTGTTTGTAATGTAAGCACGAAAAGACAATATATTTGAAATTTTTCTTGCTGTTTCAACATTATGTGAAACTAGATTCTTATGAATTAATATTTAAAAACATATCACATTTTTGACCATGAAGACAAGAGTTTTTTGAAAGTTAGTTTCAATAAACTGTAAAAGTAACAGCTAAGCTTAGTATAACATTTACTTGTGTCAATACATTAGAACATTAGTAATAAAAACATCTCATTCCACAACATGATTCATTATATATACAATACTCTCAGATAGGTCAAGATGTTTTTGTATCTGAAAAAATATTGAATATCACACTTAAATGATTTTCTGAATAAAAAGAACAAAAAATTGAACTACACAAACAGTTTGAAAATGTTGCCATATGTATCTGATGTTATTCAAACAGTATTTCTGCTTTTCGCTGCTGTGTGTAGTCCTAGACTCCACATCCTTTGATATAATCTACATTTTTTGAAGCCATATTTCCTTCATCACATTGAAAACAGTTGGCATATTACAACTCGTTTTCGCATGAAAAGTAAGTGCCAGAAAGGTCTAATATATGTCCATCATTTGAAGGCCAGTAGTCTAATGCATCATGATGAGAACAAATAATATTGATGAAAGATATTTTACATGAATCACAGATGCACGTAGTGCCATCAATATAGGTTTTATCATTCATTTTTTTATTAAAATGTGCACATGTCTGGTACGTGATGGCAGCAGCTTGATCGTTTCAATAGGAAACAGTTAAATATTTATTAATTTATAGTGAATGAAGATGAATACATATTGAAGTAAAATATTATATTCTTATTTCTCTAGCATTGGAATAGGCGTGTATAAGGACACTTTAGTGCTGGAAAAAATTAGTGCTCGCAACTGCTGTACTATAGTTAGATTTTTTACATAGTAAAAAACAATATCTATAGTTAACAATAGAAATTTTTTTAATCTATGAGTGGAATGATCTCATAGAGGCCTGCTCGTATAAGTGGTCAATTTAGTTCGCTATAAAATTTGTTTTTATAAATGATTAGGAAGCTTATTTATTTGTTCTGTTGTTTTTCACCAGAAGAATTCTAAAATTAGATGTATGCATAATTAATAATGGATCTAGAGTATGGTTTGAAGCCTTTTTTATTTAAAATAATGCTGTCTTCAGAAATTTTTACTAATTACTTCAATATGATGCGTAGATAGTTGAAGACATTCGGTAATAGAAACGAATAAAGTCATTTGAAAATGTGTCAATAAGTGAATGACTTCGAATGTTTATCCGTTTATGAATAAAAGTGGAGTCATGTTTTCTATTCTTAGAAAAATTAAACTAGTATATTATCTGTATTTTCTAATGATTTATCAGAATTTTCTTTTTTCGATCTATAGTAATTTTACAAAAAGTAGAGAAGATTCAATCATTAAGCATATTTTGTTGATCATCAATTGAATAATTTTATGCAACAGAGCTTTTATTATTGATGCGTTTGAATTTGTTGCGTTTCTTCCATTCTCACAATATGCTGTGGGCTATTCACAACCTACTTGTCAGCCACTTCAAAGAGTGTACTAGAAATAAGAATGACTTCATTTTCTGCTGATTATGCACTATATATAGCGATAGGTTTTTCATATCGATATTCGATCGAGAAAATTTTGCACGAAATCGAAATTGTTGAAGCGTGATGTTACATAGGCCCAAGCAAGTTGAGCATCGTCTTTATATTTGATATTGATGTTTCCATGAATATCTCAACAAGACATTAGTCGTTTTGCTGATACTTGATTAAATGATGAATCTAGTAATGTGCGATAAGAAAACCACAGTTTCAGTTCAGCAGAGACATTTGAACGTAGTGGAGGATTCAGAACACGACAGATACTCGTTTTTCTTGTTTCTATAGTGTCTAAACAGATCAGTATTGATTTATTACGTATCAGCTCATCTTCAGGCGGCTGAAATAACTTATCTAATACTCATCACCAACGGCGGCGGAACGATTTCAATCTAGGGGAGGCTCAAAATTTTTTTCAGAGGATGAGGATGATGAGAGGTGAAATTAAAAACAAAAAAAATCTGGTACTAATAGGTGGTCTGTTGATAATTTACTTCTGATTCTACTTTTCTCAAGACTTGTAAAAATGTCTACATTATAGATGAGATCTACAACTTTTTTCAAATTAAATGAGCCTCCCTAAGCCTTCTCCGTTTTTTAGGGGAGGCTTGAGCCTCCCCAAGCCTAATGGGTCCGCCGCCGATGCTCATCACACAAAAAAAAACGTCTATGACAAGAAGTTCGTTGGAAAAACAGTAGCTTTTAATGCATCAAGAGATATAGGATGTAGTCATCGATTAGAGTTTGTATTTTGTTAAGATTCGATTTGTATGAAATGCTCCATGTTTTTCTCTTCAATATTCTGTGTATAAGTATGTAGTTTCACGGGTTTTTTTTTTGCTTGTCTATTTTAAATGTGATGCATTCTCTGACTAAAATTAAAATCTAACATTAACCAATCATGTTTATTGAATAAAAAAATTATAAGAAAAAAACAATAGCAAAAAGATAAATGATGTCACACTGTAACATGATACTCTCCATGAGAGTCGAATACGGGGCAAAAAGTAAATATTGTATGTCTAATAGAAATACGCTAATTGGAAAAATTGGAGCAGTTCATTGTATGTGTATCTTCCAATAATGATTACCCAAAGTTGCGGGCCATTTTAAATGGTGATCAACATATTTTACAAAAATAAACTATTAAAATATAAAGAGAGAGAGAAAAAACTAAAATTTACAATAGCTATACTGTATTTGTTAATGAAGTTGAATCAATACGAAGAGTAAGAAGGAAACAATATATATCATTCTATCTCCTTCTTAATTTTTTTCTCTAATACTAGAATGTATTGATTAATATCCATAAAGGTTCAACTTAATGTCATGTAAATGAGTTGGTACTGCTCTGGTGGAATTCATTAATGATGGTAATGGAACAACATAACTTATTTTCTGTGCTCTAAAACGATGTGGTGATCTACTTCGTTTGGAATATGGTATAAACATGAGATCAGTTGATGAGGATAATTGAAATGTACTGTCTTGAATAAAACTTGTTTGATTTTGTAGATATCTCATTTGTTGCTACAAAAAAAACAAGGAAAGAAATCATAATTAATTATTTTTTAATATGAATTATCAAGACAAAAAAAACCATATAATTAATATACTTTTCTGACTCGTCGCTTGAGTGAAGTAATATGATCATCAGATCGATTTGACGTAGAATTTTTTACATAGTGATTATCTCTTCTTATTGAATTTTCTGTTGAAGAATCAAGTTGTTTCAATGTATCTATATATACAAAAAAAAAAAGAAATAATGCAATGACTTATTGCAAGTCAATAAGTTTTAACCCGATTGACTTATGGATGATTCATCATTGTATGATCGTAATATCACATTTGAATCGTCAAACGATGTTGATGACTAAATTAATTTCATAGGAAAGAAATTATCGAAAGTAATTAAAGAAAAATATCATATTTAATCAGTTTGCTTAGTTTTTGTTGTCTCTGATACGGTGCGTAGTAGATTTTAAACAAAAAGAATAGTTTTCCTCGGAATAAATATTAATCATGATGCTCGAGTAATCAACAAAACAAAGTTCAAAATCATGTTATCTAAACAATAATTCTTTAATAAATAATTCACATACAATTATGCCTGATTTAATGCCATTTTTTCTTGTCATTCGATATTTTCCTGTAACACCAGGCTTAAGACGAGTTAATAACAATCGATGCCAATCATTAGTATTGTTTGTCGAAGAATTAACTGAGTTCTTAAGAAAATAAACTTATTAATTTAAATTTATTCATTCTCAAAACTAACTTTGTTTGAAGAAATTGTTGATAGATCATAATGAACATCTTTTTGCTTTTTATATGTTCTTTTTGATTTTGTATCTAATGGGTTAAACGTTGATGTCATAGTTTCTGCCATCATCATTTAATATTATGTGCTATTTGTATGTTGACTTACGAGATCAGCAATATAAAAGAAAAAAAAACTTATTTAAATAAAATAACACTTCATAGACTGCTCTTGTGCTTTCTCGTTCCCATTCTTTTTTCTTTCTTTTTTTTTTTCTTCACATCGACTTTACTGTTACAATAAACAGAGACAGTCAAAACAACCGAATAAAATTGAAATAATATGCTGAAATCGTTGCTAATCACATCGAACAAACGGCAAATATTAACTGCCATTTGTTTGCTTCTAGACAAATCTAATATGTATGTGTTCTGTATTCTTTTTTTTTATAAGCAAAAGAAAAAAAAAAACGAAGAAATATGTTTTAAATTCGAATAGGATCGTCTGTTGTTTGAGTTGATTTATTGACATAGGAACAAACTGGAATATCACTTGGATCATCTTTAGAACTCTTATAAGCTGGATTCGTATGAGAACCATGATCTAATGTCCATTTTGATTTACGATGTTGACTGCAATATATACGATAGAAAACAAAAAGACATAAAGAAATAAGAGTAACTAAAATTAATAAAATCATTGCACCATAAGCCAAATCTAAACAGTTAATGTTTTTTTTTAAATTTGATTATGAATTTCGTATTTAAAATTTTGTTTTCTTTTTTTTACATACTATTATAATCAGATAAATTATTCCAATAGTGTGATAAAATATTTTGTTGATTATCTATTGTTATATTTGTTTGATTTAAATTAATTATGATATTTGTTTCTGATAGATCTGATATTATTATTTGTTTTTCATCAAATTTCAAATCAATAGTAGAAGAACTAAGAGTACTTGTTATAATTGATGATGATGGTATTTTTATTACATTAGATACTAATCGAAAGCAATCTGGTAGAGGAACAATACTCTTTCCTTCATAAATAACAGAATTTTCACCATCAAAACGACGGTATCGAGTTGTACTAGAACCTATTGGAACACTAAGACTAAAATCATCACAATTCCAACCATATTCAACTCGTATAGGTAAATTAACATTAATATCAGTCACTACTAAATGACCTTGCAGAAGAAGAATTTTAACTTGTTGAGCAGGTGTCATTTGATCATTCCTTAAGAACATATGAATATGACGACCACCAGTTACAGCTATGGTTAAACGTTCAACAGAATTTGTCGTTTTAGAATACGATAATAATTGTAGACGATCATTTAATAATATACTCTGTTCAATTGGACAAAATAGACGTGTAAAACCTGTTGCAAAACATTTATTTTGTCCAAAATAAGGCATAAATGTATGACATGTTGATACTGCAGAATCTAAAATTTTCCAAATGAGATTAGATGATGAAATTTGAACATCATATAAAGTACATTGACCTAAAATATAGAAAATTATCTAAATAAAATTGTTTTCAATAGAATATCTATTATATTTACTTGGTGGATAACGATGTTTTTCTATATCGAAATGATAAATATAAGGTAATTGATGAACATTAGACATAGTCTGTTCATTATTAATTAATGGATTAATTAATTCTTGTCTACTAATTTTTGATAAACCTTCTTGATCGTAATTATAATTGGGTATACGAAGACGTAAACTTGGTTGTATTTCTTGTTTCGGATCGTATACTGGTAATTGTAAATCAATATAAAGTGAAGGAACTTCACTTACTGGACGAGCAGAATAATAACGTGAAAAAAATGTAAAATCTAAATCATATGCTCCAGTAAGTGAAGTTGTTAATATTACGACATTTTTTCTATAAATAAATTCATACAATTATTTAAAAGCATTGTTTTTTTTTTTTTGTATAAAAATAAAATTTATCTACCGTTGTATTTGTGTTCGTCCTTCTAAAATACGTTCGAGATATTCTGGAAATAAGAAAATTTCCGATGAATTCGTATGAAAAATAAGTAAACCAGGACAATCATTACAATAATTTCTTTTTGTAATTAATTTTCGATAATTTGTATCAAAATCATTTATATAACATTCTGTACTTTCCATGACAAGACCTGAACGACGATCAGGCATAATTTGATATCGATGTGGACCTTTTCGATTAACCTGACATTCACCATCCGTAAATGGTAAACGACAACAACTATTATGAACATATTGAGGAAGTAAAAGAAAAATAATAACGAAGACTGAATACAACATTGGAATCAAATGCAAAATGGAAATGAAAAATAAACGCAATTCAATAGTTTATTTTTAGCATTAAAGATATCTCTTATTCAATGATAGTTGTATACGTGATTTTATGTACTTTATAGTACGTGAAATACAACATAACAAATTTTATCTCATAATTAAATGAAAGATGTAGATAAGTGTACACACATATTTCTTTTTGATATGTATTATAACTGTGCTCTTGTTTTTTTGTTTTTTGAAAAATATAATAAAATAATATTTTTAATAAGAAATTATTATCAGTTATGAAATAGTATTTATACTATTTCGCATGAAGATTTTTTTTTTAAGTACTTTTTAAGATTTACTATTTAAATATGCTAATACCATCAAAATGTACTGAAGTAGTTAATAAAAAGTTTAGATTACCATTCTTTTTTCTTTTATGTAATATGTCGAAAAATGTTTATTTTACTATGGTTGTTGATAACTGTACAAAACCAACTAGATACATCACTTTGGTATTTTTTTTTAATCTTTACTGGTTTGAATGCTGTCTATCGTTATTCTTCATCACATAAAGTCAAATTCATCTATTGAGACGTTAAAAAAGTCAAGTCCAAAGAATGAAAACTAAAGAATTATAATAGACTTTTTTTTTTTTTTCGAGTAATTAAATGTAAATTTATTCGATAGACTTCGTGTCAGAAAAAAATGTCCGACATTTGTATGAATTCCCTCTGATTCTAATAGTGACGCGTCATCTATTTCGTGAAATTATTTCAAGCATTAATTCTACAACTATGTGTTAAGTTTAACAGGAATTTACAATACTATGAAATTAAAAGTCTCTCTTTAGGCTTGCTGATAAGCTATCATGTTATTTCCAGTTAATATCGCTTGTTAGATAAGTTCAAATATATTAGGTCCGATCATATGATTAGTATCATTCAACTAAAAATTTTAACATATATGATCGATATGTTTATATTGATGAACTTAAAATATCACAAAACTAATGGTTCTTCTATTCATTGAAAACAGATGCAGCATTATACAGACAAGATTCAAATAGAAATGATTTAGAGTTTTGAAACTACGAACAACTTTTACTGAAAAACAGATATAAATAAGTCTATTTTTTTTTCATCCGGTATCAGTGGAAACATCAGAGGTATATAAGAATTGACTCACACAACAACAAACAGTTGTCAAAACTTCTATCTAAATAAAACTATCAATAAACCAGATTGATAGTAATCGATGTTCTTTCATACATGATGAGTATTAAATTTTTGTTGTACCTTGAGCTATATCGAAGACTCTTCTATATATATTAATGATAACCATTCATAGATTCATTCTTATACCCTAACAACTAAATCAAGACTATTGGCATTAATTATTGCTAGAGTTTCCATTTAAATTCTGAAGTACACTTTATCATGATGTTGGAAATCAAATTTTACCCTCAACATCACTCGAAATACAAACTCTAACATGTGTATTATATTACAAAAACAAGTCATACATATACTGTATTGATTCTTACATAGGTAGGACCGAATTTATGAACCATCTTTAATTGTTATAAAGAAGAAAAGAGCATTGTTTTTCATTAAAAATATTTTACTTCATTGCAGTACAATTATACAATCGATTAGAAATGTTACATACTCATCAAGTTACTTTTATCTCTTCCTCTTACTCATCTTAAATGTCTATATTTCTTATCTAAAGAAATTCTTTTGTTTTCATTTTAAACTATCCAATTATATTTATCAATGACATTATACGAATTGTGTCTACAATCTATGTGAAAATTTTTCATTCACACTTGTCATCGATAATAATATATGTAACTTTAATTGTGATTCGATTCACTGGGCTCTAAACTGATGAGATAGAGATATACATTTAGATACATCTAGATATACACGTGTATTAAGTAATGTATTAGATAAATACCAAATATGACTTGGCATATAAAAACGATTCGTTTCATAAATAATCTGATGTTCAGAGTTATTTTCTAACTCTTTATAATTATTACATGATATCCTCATGTATGCAGCATTGAATAACAGATCGAACCATTCAACGGTTTAATAACAATGATCACCATTTCTAAAAGTATCCGTTGGGATACTACCCCTTGGTTAAACTTAGTCCTTGTGCAACGGTGGCATTTTTGTTTCATTATACTACAAGTATTTGAACTATAGTAATCACATGATCATTTGGACCATATTTATTATGCAGTAACTATGTTACAGACAGACAGATATAGGTTAATTCACATTTTTAGATCCTGTCCTTTCAGTCTAGGACAACAAGAACAATATTGCTATTAAAACATAAAAGCTCCGAACTATTACTACTCTACAAAGTTAAATGAAACAAAATCGAGTATGTAACGAAGCAAAAAAACTGGCGACGAGGGTGAGATTCGAACTCACGCGGGCAGAGCCCATTAGATTAGCAGTCTAACGCCTTAACCCCTCGGCCACCTCGTCAAGATTGACTTTAATTAATTATTGTTCAAGCTAACAACATTTATTCAAATAATGTAATATAAACAAAAGTGTCGTTGCAAAATAAATAAACATAATTACGTCATTAAAAAATTTTCTTTCTCATATATATTTTCTGCAGTGCACTGAACCGTCAAACCAATCATTATCTTTATCAGAAAAGAAAATAATGGCGTTTAAATATCGATCAAAAATTCATCTTTATAGTTCAGATAATCGACATAACGAATCAGAAATAATATCTATATTCATCTTTTTAGCAAAGTATATGTAAATCATTTAATAATCTATGTAATAAATTTTCAATGTCATTCAATACTTGAAAGCGAGATTATCCTTAATTACGAAGTTTTTTTGTTTCAAGTATTCTAAAAGTATTTCAAAAAAAATTTATTTATGCTTATTAGTAGAGCAGAATACAGTTTTTCTATTCAGTAAAACTTTCTATTGATGATTAGCTTGAAGATAGTCAAGAATAAACACGTTAAAACAATTTACGGCATACAGTTAAATATATAAAATGACTTGCCTTTAGTTTTTAAATTTGAGAACTATAACAACATTCTTAAAATGATTTGAGACAATCAATGACTCAAATATGGCTTGATTTTAAGTATCAAATTATAGCAATAAAATTTTTATGATTGTTTTATTATTATATATTCAATAATAGATTAATTTCTGTTGGACAAAAATTGATTAAGAATCAGAATTCTTGCTTAAAAGGAAATATTTATTTCAATGAATATACGACTTGTACATCATATAATAGCAAAAAAAAAGACACTGATTAAATCAAGTTCCAAAAGAATATTTATCAAGATAATTTAATCTTCATCACTATCTTGTAAGATTTTACTATAATCCTTCTGATTATGTTCAAAGCTATGACTATTTGATCCTTCTGGATTTTGTTCAAGTTCAACATCTTCAATATCTTGATTTTTTCCTTCTCTTCCTTGATCATCTACATTGAATCGATCTGCATAAAATTTTTCTTTCATATCAATTTCGTCACTTTCATCATTACTATCGTCGTTTGATTCCGAATTAATCTTATCTTTCATTTCTACATGATCATCTTCTGCACTTTCCCAAGAATCAGGTTTTCTTGCTATAAAAAAAACAAACCAATCAATGAATAAAAAAGTTACAAAGACAGAAAATAATACAACTACCAGCAGAATAATGTATCAATGTTAAAAATAAACCAATTGAAAGAAAAATTAATAATGTTCGCATTATATTTTGTTTTTTTAATCAATCTATAAAAATAAAAAAGTGTTGTGAGCTTTTTGATAAGAGTGAAATATATATTTATATATATATATATAGATGATAAGAGTGTAAAAATGCACTATGACGTCAATTGAAGGTGAAATGCCTTACTATTTTAATCTATTATTAAGATAACTATGAAAATACATGCGCAATAGTCATTATTTTTTTGTAATCGATCTTTATCACATAGATTATTAAAACTAAAAATCATGTTCTTTTACGTGACAATAAAGAATATTTTTCTAAAAGAAATGAATGAATACGTGTCTATTATATTTACAAAAGAACTTAATTTTATCTAGAAATAAAAAAAAAATTGTTAAAAACTATTACAATTTTATATATGAAAGATCGAGATAACGATAGAGAAAGAGTGTTCATATTTATTTAAGTATAAAGTCAAGGTTTTACAAAGGAAAAGAGAATGATACCTTTTTTCTGCCAGTCATAATATGGAAATAGACTATGCTATCTATTTGCTCAAATGACAAAATACATCAATGAAATCGATCAAATGTTGATGTGAATAATGAGTTATTTTTTCAATGAATCCAAAAATACTTGTAAAGACAATATTTGATATAGAAGATAATTCAATATATGTAAAGTTTATTGAATATATTTCGAGTTGAATAAGTATACATTAAAAATAATAGTTTGTCATTTCTACCCTTTCACAGTAATAATTTTTAAATATTTCTTGCTGTTACTCTAGAACAATTGATTGACACTATAGAAGTAAGCATGTTGTACTGGTGACTTAATTGATAACTAATGCCTGTCTAAAAATAGAGTGACCGTGAGCATTTTTGAAATAACTCAAGAACGAAAAGAGCTAGAGAGCTGCGGTTTTCATCAATTGAAAGAGGGAAATTCAGGACGTCTTCTTCTCCAATAAAGTATCCGACGAAATCCTTGTAAAACTAAACATTTTCGAAAAACGTACAAAAGAATTCATGAAAATGACCTTCCATCTAGATGAAATTTTGATTTTGATCTTTGATTCAGATAGAGAGACTTGAGATCTATAGTTGAAGTTGTAATACGCTTTCTTACTTTTCATTACATTTTCGTTGAAATATTATTCTATTATGACAAGAAGTCGAAAACTTGATAAAAAAATCAGCAAAATTTCCACTTATTTGTGCATGTAAATACGTGATTTCATTTGCTCAACATTAGAATGTAAGAAAAGAACCATTTACATCATATCTTCAACTATAGATCTCAAGTTCCTCTATCTGAATCAAAGGTCAAAATCAAAATTTCATCTAGATGGAAGGTCACTTTCATACATTCTTTTGTATGTTTTTTGAGAATGTTTAGTTTCAAAAGGATTTCGTCTTATACTTTATTGAAGAAGAAGACATCCCGAATTTCTCTCTTTCAATTGATGAAAACCGCAGCTCTCTAGCTCTTTCTGTTCTTGAGTTATTTCAAAAATACTCACGGCCACTATACTTTTGAACAGGCATTAATTATTTAGAATGAATTTTCAACTATGATAAGCACATTCAAACTTTTTATTGAAAAGTTGGCATTAATACCCGAAAAACAAAAAAGAAAAGTGCACAAAAATGGCTATAAGTTTTATTTTTTCTAATATGAATTGAAGATTATGTCATTTGTAATCTTCAATATATAGTTTGTTCAAATTAAATTATAAAGATGTTGTTACACCAAATCCAATGGGAAAACCTTGCATTCCTCCCATACCACCATAACCTCCGAAACCACCACCGATGCCACCAAAACCACCATAGCTACCAAGACCACCACCTAAACTACCTAAGCCACCGAGGTTGCCACCAAAACCACCATAGCTACCAAGACCACCACCTAAACTACCTAAGCCACCGAGGTTGCCACCAAAACCACCATAGCTACCTAGGCCACCAAGCGACGAACCTCCTCCAAACGGTAAACCACCACCAAATGACATACCACCACATGGCATACCTCCTCCAAACGGTAAACCACTACCAAATGACATACCACCAAGCGGCATACCTCCACCAAGCGGCATACCTCCTCCAAACGGCATACCTCCTCCAATCGGCATACCTCCTCCAAATGGCATACCTCCTCCAAACGGCATACCTCCTCCAATTGGTAAACCACCACCAAATGACATACCACCAAACGGCATACCTCCTCCAAACGGCATACCTCCTCCAAACGGCATACCTCCTCCAAACGGCATGCCTCCTCCAAACGGCATGCCTCCTCCAAACGGCATGCCTCCTCCAAACGGCATACCTCCTCCAAATGGTAAACCACCTCCAATTTGTAAACCAGCTCCGGGAAAACTATTAAGTCCATTAAGAAATTGTTGATAAGCAGCACCAAACTGTGGTGTCCAAGGAACAATGACGTTTATTGTTCTTTGGTGACCAAATCGATCAACAGCTTTTTTATCTAACACAGCGGTACGTCTTGTAAACATTTTGCTCTATGCTAATCACACAAATATATGTTCAGTATATGTTTTCTGATGTTGTTCTTTTGATATACTTGTTTTTGTATACCAACCACGAAGTGTCTCTGCGGTTACTAAGAAAAATGATGTGTGTGGTTGTACTCTTATCTGCGAGAGAAAGAGAGAGACAGAAGTAACGAGACATGCAACCATTCAGCCGGAACATTGATTGGTACTGTTACTGTTGCACATGATAATATCAACCTTGGAAGAAACGCAAGTATAACATAATTATTCTTTTCAATTTCAATAGTAGTGAAAATGAAAATAGCATAACACGCGCAGAGAAAAAAATAAAGTTATTTGTTGAGTTACGTTGTTATCAGATATACATTATAGAAAACTAAACAAAGTGTCAAGTTATTTGAAAAAGAAAAAAGAGAAAAGAAAAAAGAAAAATCTGAATGGGCGGCGTCCGTGCACAGGGGTACTGTTAATGATAAAATGATGAATGCACAAAAAAAAGAGAAATAATATTAACAAAGAAATGAAATAGTAGTGTAATTAACAACATGATATGGTTTTTTTTCTCTATCGTATTGCCGTTTTTGATATAGTGCCAAATATATATGTATATATATCGTAGAATATTACGTGTGGTCTATATGTAACTAATATATTAACTTATCCTAAACCTCCGAGATATATGAACATAAATGAGTCAATACTGTAAAAAAGTAAAACAAACACAATTTTTTTCACTTCTCATTTAATTAAAAATAGAAGCAATTTTTTAAATTACATCCTTCATTTGATAACTGAAAAAAAAAGCATGTCCTTGTTACATACATTTTCGATTCCAAGGATACAACAATATAAAAAATCGATATGCATACATAATTACAAGAATAATATTCAATAGTTACCGATATGATCATTGAAAACTGTCTGAGAACGGTATAAAAATGAAAAACTCATGGTTATTGCTTATATATTTCATGCATTGCATAAATTTAGAACGTCTAGTCGAATCACATACACCAATTATTTTTTTTTTCTAACGTCAAGCTTCAAAAATGTAATATTGTCACAAATTATAGTATTCACGTAGTGTTGATACTCGTTGATTAAATCATCATAAGACTTTCTATAAAAAATTCGTAAAATAACATCTTATTTAATATATTGATTTATATTTTCAATAATTTTTTTTAAATTTAATTTTATGCTTGTATAATATTCATATAAATAGTAATTTATGAAATCTATTGTATCACTATTGTAATTCAACGATAATAAATTCTCAATATATTATTTTATTTTTATTGCGATTTCGATTAGTTATTTGATATATGAATAATTGTTGAAATTTAAATAATATTTTGATTTTTACTTGTATAGTTTATGGTTTCTTGAAGTGAAACAACTTCGTATAGGTTTTTGTCCGAATATAATAACAAGTATTATGTAAATGATTTGATAAGTTCGATATTTTATACTGACATCTTATTCTGATTAAAATTTTTTTCTTTTTGCTGACGGTCAAAGAAAAATATCAAACAAAATTTTTTTGTATGTATGAATTCATTGTTCCTGTTTTTTTTATTTACTCCTATGAAAAACATTTTCACACATAAAAAATTGAATTGAAAACTTTTGTTTTTCTTTTTTGTTGTGATTTTTAATGAATAAAAAACATTTCATGTTTAACTTGTTTTTTTCATTAGTTCAATAAATATACAATCATAGAAGGTTGCATACAATTAAACAATCAACCTATCACTATGTGAAATCATTCATTTGACATCTTAATAAATTCATATCAAAAAGAAAAAAAAAATAGAAAAATTGTATACAGTTATGTTTCTAATAAGTCAATATTTTTAAATCATGTGTGCATATATATTTTAATTATTGTGATTCTATTAATACATGATTACTAACGTTTCTATACGTCTTGATTAACATCAATATGATACAAATCTATTGAAAAATAAAAGATAAATAATTAGACAGATATTTTTACTATTGCAATAGATATAAACAAGAGAAAATACTTTCTGTGTATCAATAAATGAATAAAATATATAAATCATATTCACTTCCTAGAAGAAAAACAAGTGTTTTCGTAGTAAATATTTTATATAATATATTAACAAAAGCAATTATATAGTTCATCAATGCTCGAAATACTTTTTCAATCTTACGAACAACTATCTTTGAGTATTTATCAATAAATAATAACCATTTAAGACATATATTTTTATGTGAATTCAACTTTACAAAATATAATTTCTGTTTATTGGAATGTTTCTTTTTAAGAATAATAAAAAACAAGAGTAAAATGAAAACTACTTTTGTTTCTTTGTTTTTTAAGGAAAATAAAGTTTTTGTTTGCCAGTAATATGTTGACGACATATAGGACAATCCACCAGATTTGATGAACATATATCACATGTAGCTACATGACCACATGGAATAAATGTCATATTTCGTGATCGTTCCAAACAAACTGTGCAAGTTGTATCCGTATTTGATTGTTCCTTTTGAATACGTTTTCCATTTTCATACATTCTTTTATCCATGGGTATATGTGAAAACGAATTTGCTTTATCCCAACACTTAGAACTGTGATGTAATGGTGCATGTGGATTTTTATTAAGAACATGACAGAAGTAGCACATGATTGTCGACAATGATGATTATGTATCGATTTCACGTTGTCAGAATGCAATGTGCATAAAAGAAAATGGCAACTTTTCTTTCTTTCTTATCACCACTTGAAAAACTATTAGAAGTCTGTCGAAAGAAGAAAAAGAATAAAAACATTATTTTTATTGTATATTCCACCATAATCTTACTATTAAATCAACATTCATACCATGATAACCAGTCGGAAAATTGCAGTTCATATATGTTAAAATTGAAAATTACATTTAATTTAAGTTTTAAACACTGACATATTTATTTTGATGTGTCTGCTATGGACACGGAAAGGATTGATACCTACCACTTGAGTTGAATTCAGTGTTGGTACTACTGACTATTTTCGCTGAGTTATAGAATTTGATTATTTATCAAAGATAGCCACCATCAAAATAGTGGTTAGTTAGTTAAGGAGACTCAAAATAATACGAAAGAATGTGGCGTCATCTGACACAATATATATTCAGTAGCATATTTATCTTTGAGTTGCAATCGACTTCTTCAAGACTGACAATATTAATTTAATAGAAAAACGACAACAAACTTTCATAGAAAAAGATGGATTAAACCACACGAACTGTCGGCTTTGATGAAAAGTTGGTGACATAGGTTTGCCAGATTCATCGAGTATTTTAATTCCTTTTGTTACTGTCATTTTACTAACTTCATCTTCTAAATTGTTTCATAATTTTTTCGACAACTTAAACCTTGATCATACAATAAAAGTACCATTTTTCCAAGTGTCTTCATTTTTCATAATTTTTGAAGTTAATAAAAACAAATATACTCATCTAAAACATATAAATAGTTTGAACAAGTATAAAATTTTCTTTTAAATGAATTTAATATGAAGTCTTCAGTGTGTCGAAAAATATTTTATCTCCATTTATTATATGCTAAATCTATTTTTCCTTCGATTCATTCAAATGAGGTGATCTTTCTTAGTTTGCTACTGAAGTTTATTTAGAGCTATCTTTTTGTTCTCATACAAATAATACAAACAAATACATTCAAGATAATTCTCAATTGTCACCTAAGAGAATAAAAAGAAGAAATCAAAGCATATTTTATGAAGGATACTATAGTAATGTCAATACAGTAAAATTTTCAGAATTAATTTAGTCTAAAAGTTAGCGGTTACAATATTATATCAAAAATTTTACACATGAAGTATGGAGTTATGTCAGAAAGTTGTTTATTTAGTGCTTAAAGAACTTTGATAGTACATCCTATTTATTAAACATAAATTTCAACGATTAAATTACATAAGTTCTGAAGATTTACTGTATATTCATTACTGTCATATTATTCATCAGATTTGTTTTGATTTCTTCTTTTTATTTTCTAAGTCAACAATTGAAAATCACCATCGAACCCTATAGATGTATAATGCTTATTTGATGAAAAGTAAGATCAACAGTAGTATCCAAATATCAATACTTATTCGCTTAATTCACCTAAAAGAAAAAAAGAACTATAAATAAAACTTCATGATAAATCAACTCATTTGAATGAATCAAAGTACAGATATTTGAAAATTTTATTATAGTCTAGTCTATGTATTATTAGTGAGTAGTGCTTCAATATAATAGAAGTCTTATTAAATTATGTAAACTTTAAAATATGATTTTTTGATTATGAGAATTTTAACAATATTTCTAAAATCTTAAAATTCTTTTTGAAATATCATTGATAATACTAAAAATTTCTTTTTTTTTTTTCTTTATTGCTAATTATATAATGAATACTATCGAATATTTGGTCATGCATGACTAGCGATGAGAAAAATAGTGCATAATTAACCATCGTACGTCATCCATCACGAAACAGTTAGAAATTATGATCAACATTCAAGGTCAACCTTATTTTACATTCTAGTTTTGTTCTAATATAAACAATGAATTGAAAAAGAGAATAAATATCGGATATTTTTGTTTTCTATTAATGAAAGATTATTAGTCGATATAGAAAAATTGTAAATGGTTATTTTTTTTTTTTTGTCTTTTTCATTTAAAATTTTTCGTCTAATTTCTTCTTCGTCTAGCAAAATCAATAATATATTGTACAATATCCGTATAATTTTCAATTCCAAGCCAAAATATAGCAAAGAAAAGAAATAGTACAATCATTGATAAATCTTTATGAATTCCAGTTTCCATTTGAATTGATTCAATTGTATAATCAGATGTCATTTCAATATTTGATTCATAATTAAAACCTCGAATATAGTTTTTTAAAATCTTTAACATATTCATCCTTATAATTAAAAAAATAGGCGCTTCCGTAACAGTTTTATATATTCTTTTTATTTTGTTAAAAAAGTATTGTGACAATAAATAAAAAAAAAAGTCCTTCATTTGAAATCATTTGTTCATTTTAACGTTCATATTCATCTAAATTTTCATATTTAAGAATATTTGCTGGTCGTGTTGGTGGTTTAGATAAAATATCACCATGATCACGTACATGAAATTCCCAATTACGAATAGGACAATGAACATTATCAAATGGATAATCAACTTCAAGAATTTTACCATCATGTTTTTTAACACGTATATGTGTTATAATTTTAACCCAACGACAATATGATTCAGGTAAATCTGGTTGAAAAATTTTTCTTGGAAAATATTTTTCATCTTTTGCTGGAATTGTTACATGAACATCTTCATTAAATGTATCTTCTTGTGGACGTCCATCATAGTGTACATCACATTCAATTGGATGATCGGTACGATTAACAACAAAACATGAATAAACATGAGGTGGTGCACGAGGCATTTTAAATGGTGGTGGTGATGCATCATTATTATCATCAGATGTTGCATTTGTATTATTATTATTATTACTAATATTTATAACGCCATTTATATTCGTTGTAGTACCACCATCTATATTTGGTGTAGGAATACTCTTCATATTCACAGTTTGACCATTTGCTAAATCGTTAACTATTGATTCTGTCGATGGATTTTTAGTTTCAGCTGACATTCTATCTCATATATGTAAGTCAAATATTTTCTTTGTTTGATTAATGAAAAAAAAAAAAAGAAATACTTGCCTTATTTGCTTTTCGTTATGAAGAGAAAGTACAAAATGATATTGATGCGTGTAAGTTTATATTGAATCGAAAAAATATGGTGTGCATTCATGCATTTCGATGTACAAGAAGCAATTTCTCTTTTTCAAAATAACAGATAGTTTCATATTTTGTACATCTAAGAGATTATTACGTGCACGTTCGTTTGTGATAAGTATAAAAATATCAGTATGAATAAATAATAAGTGCTAAATAATTCTATTCGATATTGAGCACAAATAATTTTACAAAGAAATGTCTTTATTAGCTTTTAAGGACAATAATCTTATTTGTATCTGTCTTTTTCATCAATGGTTTTGCGACATGATCGTCAATTAGTAACAAAAACTTAATTAGACGCTTTCACAATGTGCTTTTCTTTTTCTCCAATGAAAAACAAAATGGATCAATGGTACATGGTTATTAATGAAAGGTGAAAAAAAATTAATCACAGTTAATTAGATGATCGTTAGATTATTCTATTCATAATCTTCTTGTATAAAAATTTTCTATGAAACTCTTAAGACTAGTGTAATGGTTCTGAACATAATAGACAAGAAAAAGAAATAGAAATATTAAAAAAAAAAGCATAAGATTTTTTTCAAAAATGATGTTGTTAAATAAAATAATAAGACTGTGATTGGATTAATTAACGTTATAATGTTTAAAGGACAAAACATACATAACAATAAACATAATTATCTATTCTTTTTTTTCTCGTTTTTGTTTCGACATCCGTTCTTAAAGACAAAGCTAGACAAACAATACATGTATTTATGTATCGTTTATATCCATTTCAATAAATAAATATACATATATATATATATATATAAACCACTGTTTGAATAATAAGTTTTAACCAAGAAAAGAAAGTATAAACAATGTATCGTACGATACCAGACAATGTACAAAATATGAATAATTCGGAAAATTTAAATACAACAAAAATTCATCGAACACTTATTGAACATGGTATAAATATAGTAGCAAACGATCGTGATTATCAAAATGATCCATCGATAATAAGTTCAGCTATAAAAACAAGAACTAAACAACATGAAAATGAACAACGTGAATTACAAGAATTAAATATGCAATTTGCTATTTATTTAGATCATGTTCAAAATTTAGAAAATTATAATGGACAATTATTAGCTGAATTAGATGATTTAAAAGAAAACTGGGATACTGAAATAAATCAAATAAATGAAACATATGGTCCAGATATTAAATCACTTCGTAAAGAAATTGATAATTGTTTACGTGATCAAATTCTTCATGAACTTCTATTGAAAAAATATGAATATGATATATGGCAAATACAACAACGTATAAATGCATTTAATGATAATACTTTCTCTCGATTACATGCAGTTCAACAAGAATTAAATCAATCAATTAATGATTTAGAACAAATTAAAAATTACTATGATCGATATTCAGCAGATTTAATAAAAGAACGTACACATGTAGACAATTTATGTAATCAACTAGATGGATTAACATTAGAATTAGTTAATCATCGATTAGAACGTAGTATGCTTGAAAATGAAATACAAACATTACGAGAACAAGCGGCATTTCAAGATATAGTTTATCAAACACAACGAGAAGAACTCTTATCATTTGGTTAATGTTTTTCTTTTTATGAGTCGAAATTTTTTTATACCATTATTTTTGTAGGTACACCAGTTTTTGATGTATCAAAATTTTATCATACTGAATTATTTCGTGCTATATCAGACATTCGACATGATTTTGAAATTCTTACAAAATCTCAAATCAATAATTTAGAAGAGTATTATCATAAAAAAATGGAACAAATTCAAGAAATTGCTCAAGAAAATGAACGTAAACGTTTAATAGCTATGGAAAATGAAACAATAGAACAAACATTTAATTCAGAATCATTAAAAGAAATTCAAAATGTTTATAAAGAGTTAAAATTAGAAAATAATCAATTACAAATACAATTCAATGATCTATTGGATGATTTTACAAGAATCGAAAATGAAAATATACGTGAACAACAAAAACTTGATGAACAATTAAATCAACTTCAAGATAAGATCGTTAATAAACAAGCAAATGTGAGTAGTATTTTAGAAAATAATGATTCACTTCATTTTGAGTTAACAACATATCGATCTTTATTAAATGCTGAAGCACAACGTATACATAGATCAAAACAAGAAAAACAATTACAAAATTCATCACCATTATTTAATTATAACAATTCAGACAATTTTAATCGAAATCCTAATAATTATACAATGCAAAAAATATCTACTCAAATATCAGCAACAGGTTGATAAGAAAATAATATTTTATATTTGATAATTTTTCATAAAATTTTTTTTTTCGCTAGGTTCAATCCAATTAGATTCTATTGATTTTATCAATGATTGTATTGTAATAAAATATGATAAATCTACTGGTAAAAAACAATCATTAGGAAATTGGATAATTCGTCGTCAAAATGATCAACAATCAGAAATAATTTATCGATTTCCATCTTCGTTTGTTTTAAAACCTGGACAGAGAATTCGCATACTATCAAGACGTAGTCCACAATCAACAAGGTCAGACAGTGATGTATTATTTGCTGATCAAATTAATACATGGGGACTGGGTCAAGTTATGAAAACAAGTTTAATTGATAAACATAATGAAGAAAAGTCTAGTATGACACAAACTTTTCTTCCACGATAAATCAAACATTATTCGATAGACTAAAAAAAAGAAAAACATGTGTGTGTGTTTTTTTTTATAATAATAATTAATAATTGTAGAAATTATTTATAATTTATTTTTCTAGTTCTTAAATAAATAACTACATGTAGAAAGTATAATATATGGCGTAATACAAGGGTCGCAGCAGCCTCGTATGCAAAATCAAGAATCAGGACAGGAATTTTCAAGAAAAAAATCAGGACTTGACTGAATAAATCAGGATTGTCAAAACATAGGCACTATTCATCGAAAGTGCACATCATTTCGCAATAGGAATTACGAAATGTCAAATAGCATTCATTCTCTATTCTATTCCAGCAGTTGAAAACTTCCTTAAAATGGGAAATTGTACCATTTCCCACAGGAAATCGGTACCCCATAGAATTTTAAAAGAAAATCGTCCTCTCATTGCTTCAATGTTTCGAGAGCATAACAATCTCGTAATACAACTAGCTTAACTCTTAGTGAAACAATTAAACAATGCGCGAAATAACAAAACAAAAACGCTGAAACATTGTGATGATTTCCAGCTCGTCGATAGGCAATCGTAAAATCAACATATATTTCGTTCTAGAAGGTCGAGTGTCAACAGAAATCGTCAATTCCAAGCAGACATTGTTGAAACATCATCATGATGTCCCAACGATGTTCTCTGGACTAGACTAGAACAACCCTAAGTTGGCTCGCTTGCCTGAGCCTTGAGGACTGAGTTATGACCACTTTATTGGATTTTAGTCCTATGAGGCCAGGTTATCTGCAACAGCAAATATGCGCATTTCGCCCTGAAATTTTGTCTATAAATAAATCTCATGTCCACTAAGATATCTTAAAAGTTTCAGACAAAACGAATGCATCCTTCTTAAGATGTTAAATATTCAAATATTCCGATTTTTGTGAATTTTTTTCTGAGAAATAGACGGTTTTTTGAAAACTAAATATCTCAAGGATGCATTCGTTTTGTCTCAACCTCTTAAGGTATCCTCGTGGCCATTAGATTTATTTATAGCCAAAAATATCAGGTCAAAAGCAAGGGGACATTTTGAGAAGTTCATTCGTGAGATTCGTCGACGGCAATCCAACGAAGAGAGTTGATTATTCATCGGACTCTCGACTTCCAAATCTACTAACTAACTAACTTGTGCCTGTCGTTTCTTTTTTCTTACTGAATAATGATACAAGATTTTGTATGAATCTTGTAAAGAAAAAAAAGATGAATTTTTTCATATATTCACCGACATTTTTCAGTTCATAAAGAGCTTTATCTATTCTTCAAACAAGATGAACAACGCGATCGTTGAAAAAATAGTATCTTCATCAATTCAAGACAGAATTTCCGAAACGTCTCCACTGAAACTAAACCAAAATTTTCTAGAGAAATTATTTAGTTTCGAAAAGCACCAAAAATCAGGAAATTAGGACCGCTGCAAGGCCTGGTAATACTATAAACATGATGTTCTTGTTAACTTTGTTGGTATGATCGAAAACTTCTTTTAACACATGAAAAGAAAAATAATGTTCTTTAATTTTTTCGATCGCTATTATATTTTTATTATTTATTGAAAGATCAATCAGTGTTAAATTTTAATAACATCACAATATAATTGTACGTAATAGTATCTGTAGGAATACTCGAGTAGAAAATCTTCTAGGTTATTGTCCAACTATGAACTTATTTCCTTATTTTTGTCGTCGTTATTATATTTGTTTTAGCAATGAAATTGATTCCATTATTACAAAATTATTAACGACTCAATTAATCTGTGATCTATTGTATGAATCGACTTAGTCTATTTGGTGCACTGACGTGTAACTCAAATTCGATTACGAATTTATTTGTTTTTAAATAATCCATAAGTTTCCTTCGCAATGATCATTTGAACAATTTTTAGCTGCCATGTTAGCGTAAATATTGTTCTACTTACACAACAATTAAATTCTATAATGCTTCATCAAGTATACTATTCGAGTTTATCATCGAAATTTATCTTTGCAAAATAGAATGGGTCGTCCATTATGATTCAATAGTGACAAAGAATCTTATTTTGTAGTTTTTCTTAAACTCTTAATCGATGATGGTTTTCAAGTTCTTTGTGAAATTGCTTGTAAATTAGCTTGTGATTATTTTCAATCATTGGTTTTATCGGATGTGTCTAGTACAAAATGCTTTCAATCATTTATGTAATTTCACAGTGATGATATTATATTGACAAAACAGAGTAAACTTAAATGATCAGATGTAAAAAAAAAAAAAAAACGCTTACTACAAAGATTCATTCGAGTTGGTGACAATAACTAAAGATACGATTTTTTTGAAAAACTGGATCAATCTTCGAATGTTAATGGAAATACTCTTATAGATCAAAAAAGAAATTGATAAACTTGAATAATTTTACACTGATCATTTTTCTTCTTTTTTTATTATAAATGAATAGGTCCTAATTAAGAAATATCTTCTCTTTTATTTTATTATTCTTTTAACTACATGATAATACCTAATAAAATAAAAGTGAGTGTTCTTTATATGATGTATAACTTCTACTGTTCATAATTTTTATATAGATAATCCTTCATCTGTACTACATCTTGTGTATTAGCAATAACTATGAACTCTGTATCCTAGGCAGTGTAAATATCTTTTTTTTTTACATCGAACATTCATCGAAATTTAATACTTCACGTAAAGTAATTGAATGAAGATCAGTTAATCAGAAAAGCATAATGAAGATTTCAACAAAGAATTCTTTGAAAAATATATCGAATGATGCATTTTATTTTGTGATCAAACACATTACTCATGCTGAATTGTAGAAAGGGTTCAACGCTTCATACATTGATTGGTCATAAAAACTAGCCGAGTTTTAAAATAATCCAATAAAATACTGAAATACTGTCATAACTTTTCATAATGGATATCATAATGTTAACAAACACTTTGATGAGATGTTTTTTAATAATTAAATAACTTCATTTATTAGTTATATGTTTAGAAACTTTCTTGAATGGTATCAAAACTCTTTAGTATCATTTGAGCGCCATCTAGAGAGAATTTATCTATGGTAGTTGATATCACTAATCATATATAAACCGGGTATTATCATCATTGATGGAATCTTTGTAGAATTTGAATGATTTCTCTTTATCTTATAAGAAAAACACGTTGAAATACCACTGGTAAGAAAACTATGTTTAAATATTCAAAAGTTTTTCATTCATCATTCTTAATCTTAATTGTAGAAAATTATTTCTGCTTTTTTTTATTTGTCTTTCTAATCATGTCTGTATATATAACGGATGTAAGTATAAAAATATCAATTCATATCAATAATATTTCTTCTATTAGTATGATGAAGATAATCCATTTAATAATCCTCCATCAGATGAAGAAAATGAAAGTGAATTAGTTGAATTAGAAGCTGAAGATTTTGTTGATTATGTTCATCGTTTGGATACGGAACAAAATGAACGATTACAAAAAGAAGAACAAGAAATTATTCGATTATGGAAAGCACGAAATACTGTATTATCTCAATTAGAATCTACAAAACAACCAATATCATTACAAACTAATGGTAATATATCAATATCAGAAATTGAATCACATTATGATGATAATGAATCAATTATATCACAACAAACAAATTATTCAAAAGTAAAATTTACCCACTCTCTCTCTGTGTATACATCGAAGATTTTAATCATTATTACTATCTCTTTTTTAAGTGTACAGACAAAGATGAATCAAAAAATTCATGTATTAGTTTTTCTACACGTTTACGTAATAAACAATCGAATATAACAATACCACCACCACCACCACCACCAATATCATCATTTGTTAATCGAAATATTAATAATCGAAATGGATATGCATCATCTATTATATCTAATGATCAATATGATGATCGAAGTTCTGGAGTTGGTAGTTTAATATTAAGTCCAGTTCAAAGTCCTGTTGTAAGTATGAGTTTTATTTGTTTTTTTGTCGATCTTATTTAAAAAATAAAATAAACAAAGCAATTAAATCTATTTTAAGATGTGGCGTTCAGAAAAAATTGTTGGTCGAGGTTTATGTTCATCATCTATTGATTATAATCAGATGAATATTGGAGAAGCACGTCTTGTTAAACCATATAATCGTACGAATACATGTTCCGAAACTGATGTCTTTAAAGATCTTGATAAATCAAAAGAGAATGGTTTTTTTGCAAATATTCGTGCACGTATGGAAGCAACAGCAGCATCTAGTAATTCAAGTGATACTCCATTAAGTTTTGATGATCAATATATAAATGTACCATTATTATCAAATACAAAAAAAAGTCATTTTGATTACGATGAAGTTAGTTTTTTTTTTTTTTGTGATCTTTAAAATTTCTGTTTTAATAGGAATTTAATTATCATCAAACATATATTTTACCAAAATTAATACAAGAAGAAAAAGAAAGACGAATACAAGAAACAACAATTGATTTTTCATTTAAAATTGGTTTAGATGAACCAATAACCAATATAAATAATGATGGATCTATTATTGAAGATGAACCATATTTATCAATTATTGTTGATAATAATAATAATGGTTTAAAACGTGTTTGTTCAATATTTGATCAACATCAACTTGTTTGTAATGTTAAATTTAATTTTTTTATTTTTCGTTTTTTTTTTTGAAATAATATTTTGTTAATATAGATGATCGTGAAAATATTTTACATGATCAATGGTGTTATGGTCTTACATCATATACATTTCTTCTTAAACAATCAGTTAAAATAGTTAATTCATCAGTTATGAAATTATTACAACAACAATTAAAACATAGTGATACATTTTGGCTTTCAAATGGTTTAAAAAAACGACCAATATTTAATGATTCTTATTTTAATATTGGTAATATAAATATTTTCTCTTTCTCACATAGATAAGATGGTTTTTTTCGTTCAATGAGAAAGGTTCTTCAACTGTTCAACGAAATTTTGAGTAAAAACTATGTGCATGAAGTAAATCCAAATGAGTTAGGAACATCTTGACAATAGCTTCTATCCTTAGTTTATTACGACATGTTTGTAATACTTTTAAAAACATGTGTAATAACTTCACGGTAAGAAACTAAGGATACGAACTCTTTAGAGGATATCCATAGCTCACTTACGAGGGAACATTCTCAACGGTCACATCGCTTTTGAGTCAAACGTATGGGCATCGTGTAGGTCCTAATGATCTATGAATCCTCTGAAAAAAGTTTGTGCCGCTAGCTTCTTACTGCTGAGATATAGCATTTTTGCTGTATGTTTAAGAAAAAGTCGTGGTCCCCCTCAGGAATACTAGGAAAAGTGCGTTTTGAGTTTCCATCTGAAACTTTGTCTGTAGACAGACCTCAATGAGAATAGTTTATTGTGAAGGTTTCAGATCTTTTGGTTGTTCCTAGTCCGAAATAAGAATATCGGATCTGCTCGTGTATATGAGCAATTTTACCATAGCTGTAAATTAGGATAGGAATAACGAAAAGAGCTGAAACTTTCACAATAAAGTATTCTCATTGAGACCTACATTTTTGCAAAGTTTCAAATCGAAATTCGAAATTCAGTTTTCTCAGTATTCCTGAGGGGGACTACGGCTATTTTTTTTAAACATACAGTAAAAATGTAATATCTCGGCAGTAATAAGCTAGCGGCATGACCTTTTTTCAGAGAATTCATAGATCGTTAGGGTCTACATAATGCGCATACATTCGACTTAAAAGCGATATGACAGTTGAGAATGCTCCCTCATTAGACCTATGTAGTATATGTAGCCTCTTGATGAATAAACGTACAAAAAAAATTATAAAAAAAAAACAATTTTTTTTGCATCCTAAAGGTCCTTTCATATTTTCAACTAAGCATTTTGATGCAAACATTGCTTTATTAAAAGTAAGCTAAAAAACACATAAAACTTTGCATAAATTGTGCAATATATCCGAAAGTTCAAGTTCTGGTACTTCATTCTGATGGACTATTCATCTCTCTTGAAATTGATATAGAGCTATGTCACATTGCCTCATTTTTTTTCGTTGCGCTACGCAAATATTTCTGAGAGCTGAAAAATCTTTGCTTTAGGCAAGATTGGAAAAGCAAATAATTTATTTATGTAGTAGGCATTGATACCAAAAATTTTCTTAGCTTCATCAAATGATAGAACATTTGAAGAGCTAGGAGATTACTGTCTATTTTTTTTCTATTAGTTTAAAACTCCACTGAATAGATATGTTTTGATTTGTAACAGTTAGGCATGTTGAAATTTCGCATTTATTATTTGTCTAATTGTTCTGCTAAAAATTACAATCTGACAATAAACTATCATCGGAATATTGAGAAAATACTTGAAGAAAAATTAATTTTGTTGCATCCATTTTAATCAAATTTTTTTTATGGCCTATTGTATACTTATTTTTAATGAGATCAAGAAAATTGATTATAGAATATACAAATTTAGAAAATCTATCTTTATATTACTAGTCAATCATCTTGTATTTGTTATACTCAAATATCTAGATTCGTTGAATAAAACTTTGTATTCTGTGTGTAATTTTGCATATAATGACTAAGAAAACATATAGATCTTGATACTATGGTTGTTTTAATAGTCATTCGTCAGTAATTAAAGCATATATTGTTTTTCTATTATATGTTTATCACAAAAGCTTTTCCTATGAAATCAATTTCAAAACTAATTTTCTCATTTTATTTAGATGAAACATCGTCAGGATCATCAAATGGTATAACATCTACATCTACTACAAATTGTCAAACAACAGAAACTGTTATCAATACAGAATCATCTGCTGTTGAAACAACACGTTTAAATAAATATCGTCAATTAGCTCGATGTTTTTTTCATATTAATTGTCAAATGGAATGGTCATCAGGTGCATTAATAGCAATGAATTTATTTTCACCATATGAAAAATTATCTAAACAATCACAGGAAAAATGGGCATTACGTTTTCGTGAAGATTCTGTGGATTTTATTTATCAAACAAAAGAAAAATCAAATCCAAATTATGAATATATTAAACGATTACAAGCAAATTTTATTGATAAAAGTGTTATTATAACAACAAATAGTGATGGTTTTGTTCTATATATTCAAATGAAAGGCAATATAATGGAATTAATTAGTAAGTTACTTTTATAATCAAAATATTTATTTGAAATAGTGAATCATATTTAATTTCAATGAAGTCTCCTATTGAGATTAAACTCAGATATTACATAAGAAATATGAATTTAGTTTCCAATTTCTTATTCAATCTTCAATAGATAGAATTTTCCTTCTTCAAGTATGATTGTACTTTTTTTTTCAAATTACTTTGCAAACGAAGTTTTAACTTTAAGATTTGTATATGTAAATTTTTCAATACCGTTAACGCATTCTGAAAGTATTAATTCAATAAATTTAATTCCTTTATAAGTATAATCTATGAAGCTAAAGTCTTGACATAACATATTCGTTCATTTTTCAATCATTGAAAATCAATTGAGCAATTTGTTGCAATGAAAAGTTTTTATTATTTCTAAAATAAATGCTTAGATTATTCTTTTGACATAAGGTTAAATAACTATCAGTAAATTTTGCAAAAAATTTTGACTAAAATAGTAATCTGTGCAACTACCATTTTTTTTTTATTTTACTTCAGAATGAAGTTTTGAATACAAATCATAAATGAAGAAGGAAAATTTATAGTTATGAATGATTTAAATATTTACTGATTTTAATAGAACCTAACGAGATTTTCTCGTGACTCGAAATGAATTTATCAAAACGAAAGAGAAAATAAAAGAACTATTCGTTTTTCTATGTTTAGTTGTACTTTTTGGATTATAAATTCAATAAAATCTGACATTTTGAAGACTCTTATCTAGATTAAGATAATAATTTCTATAACAATAAACTTTATTTTACATTGCAATAGTCTTGATATAGTAAAAATATCGAATGATAAATACGTTGACTTATTCAAACATTTCAACAATATAAAATCTTATTTGATTGATAATAAAAAAGATGCAATATATTTATAAGAAAAAAAAAATGCTTTTTTTCTTTTTGTACAAAGAGTAAATCTGAAACACGAGAAGACCCTTAATGAACAAATTCACTTAAATCATACATATATTTCGTATCTATCTTCTTCTCATCGTTTCATCGACCAATAACAAGTCGCACAAGATGTTGCTATCATTATATCGATCATAAAGAGTCTTGATGCAGTTTTATCTGAATTATGTCTTATTTTTACTTTTGAATGTACCAACAATTCAATGGATGACAATAATCTAAAGTCGTTTATTTTCTGATTGCAAGATTTTCATAAACTATCATATTAGAATTCTATAAGATCGTTCGAAATCCCGCCTTACAGGACTCTATACCACATATTGAAATAGTGATACTGAATACAGTAATGTTTTTTTTTCTGCTATGACACTGTGTAGTTGTAGATTCTTTGTTCATCTATATCCGTCAACACATATTTCGATATTAGTTGAGTAAATCAATTTGTTTATACTTAATAGAAAATATTAATGCTCTAAATTATACACAAAAAAAACTCGTTTTTTTTCTTCTTATCTTTAAAAAAAAATCATAGATTATGAACCATGGTGGATAGCACGAAAACATCGTGAACAAAATAAACCTGTAATGTCATCACGTCAAGCCATTCAACGTCAAGCTAACAGTTCTAATCCTCTACCATTTTGTTCAACAATTCGTATATCTATAAAAGTTTCACGAGTAAAAGATAGTTCACAACGAAAAAATGATCGTCGATATAGAAATCAAACAATTGATGAATATGATTTTCGTATGGATTGTATACTTATACATAATATTCGTGTAGCATTTCGTGAATTTCTTGCTTTTTTTTATCGTCATCGTATACAAATATGTTTTGCTGGTTCAATAACTGAATTATCATTTAAATTATCATCATATCATATTGAACAACCTATATTTAATACATTTATGAAAAATTATTCATGGCAAATGTTATTATCACTTGGATATCGTTTTCAACAACAAGTTACACAAAAATTTATTGATTATTTTCAAAAAATTGAAATAGATGATGAATTTTATCAAGTAAGCCAACAAAAAAAAGAGAGAATTTAATACTGTTATTCATTTATAATAATCTTTTGTTTATTTTTTTTTTGTCCCCATAGATAGCTCTTTATATTTGGCGTCGAGCAAAAGAATATCATTTTGTTAATATATATGAAGAACTTATGAAATATATTGAGCGTCAAAAAGAAAATGGTTATGAAAAACGTACATCATCATCACATGCTTCTTCATTAATGAATTCATCTCGAAATAGAGCTCATGCACCATCAGTAACTATAACACCAACAACTATTTGTATTAAACCATTTAAATTAGCTAAAACAAATCGAGTTATACGTGAACCAAAATTTGGTGGTGTTTACAGTTTTTGTTTAGGTTAGTTTTATAGAAATAAAATCCGATCGAAAATTTTTTGGAAAAGATATTTGTTCACTTTTGACCTGCTAGAAAGTCTTTTCGACGAGTCAAAAGCTATGGGTTAGAACCAGAATTTTGTGCTCTCTTTGAATATAGACTTAGAAATGTTGCATCTATTATTGTTTAAGAGCAGTGAGAAATTTTTTGAAAGATCTGAAAAATAATTTTTAATGGTGAATCAACACGTTTTTTGTTTACCCCTGTAAGTCCCTTTTCGAACATGCTAAAAATTGCCGGAGACTGTCGTTTTATTGAGTAAAAACTTCTCTACAAAATGTGATATTGAACTAAACTGTAGCTTCTACCTAACTGAAGTTACAGACATTTTGTGAAGTTCTTCTTTCAATGTAAAACGATTTTGGTCAAAACGTCAGTTTTTCAAAAATTAATATTTAAGAAAAAGGAAAATTGAGGTCAGGGTTGCCAGATCTTCTGAAATGGCAGGAAAGCTTCTGAATTTCAAAACTTTTTCTGATTTTATTCTGACCTTCTGATTTTTCTGATTTTTCAGGTTCTTTCCGATTTTTCTGATGTTTTTAGTTTTTTTCGATTTTTCTGGTTTTACTGTTTCGCTGCGATATTTGTCCAAATTCTATTTCTGAATGAAGACTTTTCTCAAATTGATTACGATCATAATCGTTAGCCATATGAAACATGTATGGTCTGATTATCGTAATCGCATGGACATAAAACTAGTTAGTGCTGAACTTAAGATAAGAATGAATGCTAATTATTCGTGTGAACAGTTCTAAAAACATATTTCAACTGCTAAACATTTATTGCAGCGAATTCGCAAAAATGAAAAATATCAATAGTATGGAACTCATATTGAATGAGTCTTTTTTTAAATATCTCTTGATGTATATAGTGCATTTCTCGATTTGTTTTTGCTCATTTTATGTGAAAAAAAGTTTTGAGTTTAGTAAAAAGTCTGATACTAGATGTCTTTGGCTAGTTTGTGTGATATTCGGTGAACTACATATTCTTATTATTATTGTTTTTTTATGTTAAATATCTTCGAAAATAAATGAAGAATAGATGCACAAATTACAATTAAAGCATTTTGTAGTAGTTTGGTAAAATAATAAGTGCCAATTTCAACATATTAACCTTTCTGATTATTTTCTGATTTTCGAAAAAAATTCTGAATATTTTCTGATTTTGATAGTCGGAATTTCTGATTTTTAAATTTTTGATCTGGCAACCCTGATTGAGGTGCTTTGTCGAAAGACAAAAAAATCTCAAATAATACATTTTGTAGAGCAGCTTCAGATCTACAAACTGATATATAAAATAAAGATCTCAACCATTAGTTTCGAATTCTATTAGTAAATATACAAAAGTGTGCGAAAGAATTTTTCGTCCAAACTAGTTTTTTTTTGGCTTTCCAATGATTATTTCAATACTCTCAAACAAAAACTGTGACAAAATTTCTAAGCCCATATTTGACAAGAGAATAAAATTCTGGTTCTAACTCATAGCTTTTGACTTGTCGAAAATATTTTCTAGCGGGTCAAACATGAACAAACATCTTGTCCAAAAACTTTTCTATTGGACGTTAGGAAAAATATGATAAAAATAGATATTACATTCAAACAAAAAAAATAATCCTAATGAAATTCATTCTTTTCTAATTTGAATTTAGTTAAACAAATATTCAAGTATTTTCATAATCAAATTTAAAGTATTGTAATCAACATGTAATAATGCAGGAATTATTAATCTTTTCTTTACATTTCTTGAATAAATTTCAAGTTAGTCTCTTGCAGATTGCTTTTTTTTGCAGACTTGAACTGAACTTATATTTTCTATTTCTTATTTTTAAAATGAATTCGTATATACTGTATAAATCAAAAAGAGAAAATCAACATATATTTGATTTATTTTTCTACGAATATCAAACATTTCACTTAAGTCTTAAACAGTACTTTGAATAGTCAATGAAGTTCTCTGGCAAATATATTTTATAAGATGAATTATGAGAGGACGGTTTCTGAAAAAACTAAAGACGATTATTTTTTACGTTCTAAAAAACTGTGAAATTTTGTTTCTAAGAGTACCATCTAAAACAACATAAAATTCTGAACAAAATTAACGGGTCGCTACATTTTCTAGGACTCGTCATTAAAAAAACTATAAGCATTACGAAGCGAAATTGATCACCAAAAAAAAAACATTTTTTTTGTGATGTTTATAACTTGTTAATAGAAGATCATAGAAAATGCGGCAACCACTCATTCGATACAGAGTTTTGTACTTTTTAATTCAATATAGAATGCATTTGATTGAATATTCAAATCACTATTTGAATTTGAGTTAAATATCTTGTATTGAAGAAAAATAAACTAAAAGTGCGTTGATACTCTATGTTCGACTAGTATTATATTAGTCAAGAAAAATAGCTAAAATAATGTTTTTTCTCTAATAAAATATCATTCAGATTTCGTTCACTAAATTCTATTGTATTTGCATTTACAAATTTCTTTTATTTTTATTTTTTCTAAAAACAATAAGTTTGAAAATTCATTGATTTTCATCTTTTTTTTTCTTTTTTGCTTCTATAAAATTTTAGTTGAAATACGAGAAGAAACAGGTGATCAATTACAAGCAAATTATTTTGGTACACTACGTTCGAGAATTGATGATTATCTTAAATTTGGTTTTAAATTAACAAATGATCGACTTTATCGATATCTTCATCATTCACAATCACAATTAAAAGATAAACAATATTGGTTTTATTGGCATGATGAAAAAAATAAAACAAATCTATCATTTGATGAAGCTTATAAATGGATGGGTGATTTTGATAATGAACATGTTATTGCTAAACATTCAGCACGTATAGCTCAATGTTTTACAAGTTCCGAAGCAACAATACGAGTAAATTATTTCAATTGAATTTCTTTATATTTCAAAACAAATATAACATTCATCTTTTATTAAGGTTCCACGTGAAAAAACAGAAATAATTGATGATATTGAACGAAATGGTTATATATTTACAGATGGTGTTGGAACATTTTCATCAAGACTTCGAGATGAAATTTGTGTTAAAATGGGTTATCGACGTAAATTTAGTGTTATGCAAATTCGTTATGGAGGATGTAAAGGAACTGTATCAGTTAATCCTGATTTAGATTATACTGAAAAACAAATGATTTTACGAAAATCTATGTATAAATTTATTTCAACACATGATGTGCTTGAATTATGCAAAGTATCAGCACCACGTATGTAGATATAAAAAAACTTAAAACAACTAAAATAGATTGAAGAAGATATTGATTTTGAATTGTGTTCAATAGGATTATTATTGAATAATATCTAAAATCGAATCATTTTAATTAATTTAATTGGTAGTCCATTAAAAAATTGCTATCAAGTTTCTCCTATTGAAAGTAGTGAATACTGAAACTTTCTTGAGTGATAGATTACGAAGACAGTATAGTCTACAACTAAAGAAATTAATAAAATATTAACCCTCTTTTCAAGTCAATAAGAACGAAACATCTAAGCTAGCTTAAAAATACTCAAAAATTTTTGTGTATAAATTGCCCTGATGCTCCTCAGTGCTTCGATCATAGATCTTGGAATTTTTTCGGATGACATGGACAGAGGTCTTCATCATACGGATATAGCCGAGTAGTATTATGATAATTATTACTGCAGTAGTATCAGTAGATAGATAGTTAGTATTTGAATAATGAGCCATTTTTATAGGTTTGAACAGTACATTGGAAATTTTTCAGTCTTACTGGATGGATAAAATTACTTGCTAATGTTCGAAAATCGTTCTAAGATGATGATCGCTTGAGAAACTAAATGAGCGAGTATCAAGAAAATTCGTGTGTCAAACAGTAATTTTTTTCTGCACTCTTCTGTATATATATATGACATGAGCGGTATTTTATGCAGTCTCTGAAATCGATAGAAGTCATAAAAACTCATTTTTATTTATGTTTTTTTTTTGATAAATTATCAGTCTATTTCAATTTTTTCTTTACAATGGTTAAGAAGAAAACGGTTGTTTCAAACGTATCTTTCACAGAAATACTATTTAATAAGGTTTCAAGTTTTCTATCAAGAATTTCGAAAGTAATGATCTTCTCGAGTTATTATGTCTATTAACGAGAAAACATCTTTAGTTGCTCCATTTCGAGTCAATGTACTTTGACCTATAGATACAACATAGTGTTCTACTAAAAGTCTTAAAAGTTTTTGAGTTTCTATTGATATCTAACTAAATCATCGAATTTTGATTTGCAGTTTTGAGCATAGAGTGAATTCTATTGCGTTGGCTTTTTTAAAAAATTCACAAACTTTCAAATCACAATTCGAAAATACGAATGTGCCGCAAATCTAAAGCCTATATAGATAAGAAACATGATATATTTATTGAATATCTTAGTCGATTCTCAATAGGAACTTGAATTCTTTTCTGTGTTTTTATTAGAACATTACGTAGAATCTATAGACAAAAACAGATCATTGAAATCGAAACGGAGTAATTGATCAGATTGTCTCATAAGTCTTTTGTTAAATATTCTAACACGATTCTATATTAATCAAGGATTTTGAAAAAAAAAATTATCAAATAAATTTAACAAATGTATTCATTTTGATTTATAAACATAAAACTTATATTAAAAATCTAGGTCCTATTCATCTAAATCGTCAAGTTATAGCATTACTTGAATCTCGTCATATTCCACATTCAACATTTCTTCTTCTACAAAATCAACATTTATTATCACTTGTTGAATCATTACTTTATTTACCATCAACATATGAATTACTTCATGAACGTCTTCCACCACATCTTCAATTACGTGATCTTATTCTTACTGCACAAATCGATCTTATTCATGAACCATTTTTTCGTCAATTAATTACAACTATGTGTAAACATGAAATCAAACGTATTCAAGTAAGATAATAGACTAAAATACAATTTTGTTGTGATCATTGAGCAAAAAAAAAAAACAAAAGAAAGACATGTCAACATTATCTTTAGGATAAAACACGTATACAAATTTCAAAAAATTCCGGTCGAAATATGTTTGGTATTGTTGATGAAACTGCTACACTTAAATCTGGTCAAGTATTTTGTCAATATACAATATTAAATACTGAACAATTAGATGATTTAACTAGAAGCAATAATATTCGTAGTTATTATCAAGAAGATATAAAAAAAGTTGTTGTTGGGAAAATAGTTGTTACAAAAAATCCATGCCATCATCCGGGTGATTTAAGAACATTTGAAGCTATTGATGTACCAAAATTAAGACATCTTGTTGATTGTATAGTTTTTCCTCAACTAGGTGACCGACCACATCCAAATGAAATATCAGGATCTGATTTAGATGGTAAAGTAATTATATTCATTGTTTCTTTTTTTTTCTCAATTTTATTTATTCATTTTCTTAATCGTGTGCAAAATATGTATCGTTCATGTCCCCGTTCACTCCATCAGAAAATATAGTTTTCATAGAAAAATTCGTTCTAAAAAAATATTATCAAAATTCAGACGGGCTAATTTCTTAGAATCTCTGTCAATACAAAATGTAGGGTTCAAAATGAATGAACTTTTATTTCATATATATCAATTCTTTAGCCATTTTAGATATTAGAAAGCTTTGGAAATGAAATCTTTGCTAAAATCGATGAACATCTACGTGTTGATTCTTCATATTACGTTAAGTTTTGAATAAAGGAATATTTTACCGTCAAATTATTTCATGATAGAGTTAGAATAAGAAAATATATTTCCTGAAAGTTTTAGCAAACTTAGTTGTTCTTGAACATAGATAGGTTTTTAATAGAGAGCAGAGTTGTTAACTTTATTGACAAATGGTAAAGAATAATTTCAATTTCAATTTTCTTTTTCTAAGAAATATTTATAAGAGATAATTCTATCTTTGATGATCAATGAACCAAAAAGTTTATTACTATCGTAGTATTCATTTTATCTTGATAAGCTAACATGAGATATTCAATAATGATCACTCATTGGGAAAACAATGACAAACAGCTTTCGCTAAATAATCGAAACTGTTGAATTTCATGATTATAAAACTGTTACACATCGAATAAAAATAATTATTATTTAATTTAACATCAACTATTTAGGATTTGGTTGAAGAGTTTTTTTTTGTCTGAAATATTCTTCACAGTAGTTTTATAGAATTTGCGACATTGCATCTCAAAAAAAAAAAAAAAAAAAAAAAAAAGTTATTTTTATCTGAATACATAATTTTAACATTATCATTTTGAATAATGAATTTTTGAAACATTATATTTTGTGTGTGGTGTCATTATTATATCTAACATCTGTAGTTTCAAATCTTAGGGTAGAAACAGCAACAAGATTTGAAACTTTTACAATACATTATTTTCTTTAAGACCTATCTTTCCATGCAAAATTTCAAATCGAACGTCGAAAACTAGTTTGTCTTTTACCAGGACATTCCTTTAAAAACCTCTTTAAAAGTTTAGTATTTTCGCAGTAATAAACTGAGGACATGAACAGTGTTCAAAGTTCACTTGAATCTACATAATGCACATAGCCTTGACTGAAAAATGATTTATCAGTTAAAGAACTTCTCTCGTCAGTTCATTTTTTTTTCATCATCCTACTTATTCTGTATTTAATATTGTTATTGAAAAATCTTTCAAGAAACTCAAAATTCGCATTCAGCAACGTATTATGAACTATTACTAGCAATGTATAATAGTTAAGTTCTATATTGACTCGAAATCCTGACTCATTTTGATAAAACGTGCTTAAAGAAAACTTCTTGCAAAAGCATTATCAAATATCTTATTATCAACAACCTGTAATTACATGAACATTTCATTATCAGTGAATCTACTACTTTGTATGACAATTACTATGACCTACATAGTAATCGTACCGAGTTAAAAAAAAAAACGTTTGTTCTCTCAACATAGAAAATTGCTGTAAAAAAAGATTAAAGAAAAAATTTTCATTTAATATTTATGACAAATTTTTTATGTTAATAATTCGAATATGTTCTAGGTGATGAATATGCTGTTTATTGGCATCCGGATTTAATTCCAACAACAGAAAATTTTCCACCATATGAATATGATTCACAAGAAAAACCACAAAAGCTTGATCGACCAGTAACACGTGATGATATTCGTCAAATTGTTCTTGAAATATCTGAACAAGATGCACTTGGTCGTTTATCTAATCTTCATTTAGCATATACAGATAAATATAGTATTCGTCATCGTGATGCTATGCGAATAGCAGCTGCTATTGCTGAAGAAGTTGATGCTGCTAAAACTGGCAAACATCCATTAACAGAAAATCAAATAGCTGAATTAGCTCGTCAACTTGAAAATGAACGAGCAGATTTTTTTAATCGACCAAAACAATTCGATCTCTATGCATCATCAAATGCAATTGGTAGAAAACAACAAAAAAAAAACATTTTTTTTGTTGTATATACATGTCTTTATTTTTCTTTTAGGTATATTATTTCGTGCTATACGTCGTTCAGAACCTGGTTGGCTTAAAATAAATCGTTGTTTACATACAAAAACAACAATTGGTCTTATTCAATCATCACATATAAGTGCACATGTTCAAATTGATCCATTATTAGTTCATCCATTAGCAAAGTTATATCATAATGACGCTGAACATTTATTTAAAACTTATTATGATCAAATAAATGATATAATGTATGTATATCATTTTCATTCAGAAGTTGATCTTATATGTAAATTTGATTCACAACAAAAAATTATGCCAAAACAAAATGATATAGCTGATTCAGCACAAATTGAATTAACACGTTTAATGAATCATATAAGAAATTTATTTAATAATTGTGAATTACAAACTTATCATCAATTAAGATGTTTATGTGAAGATTGTGATGAACATCGTATGGCATGTGCATCAGCTTGTTATATTGTTACATATAAACAACCATATACAAAAAAAATTCTTTCATTTGCATGGTTATTTTCATCATGGTTAGTTAAATTACGACGTTCAAATTTACAAAAACAAAATTTAATATATTTACCATCAAATTATTTTCTTATTGGTCAAGCATTATATCGTTCATTATTATTATTAATTAATAATCAATCACTTCGTTTTGTTGTTGATTTTAATTCAAATTTAAATAAAGATTCATGTTTACTTCAATTAAATTATGATAATCGAATAAAAAAATCTATTTATATTCGTATACATCTTATGGAATGGGCTATGCTTGAAATAATAACAGGATGGTTAGATAGACAAGAAATTTTTTCAACATGGAAACATTCATCTAAAACAGCCATAAGACCACTTGTATTAATACGTACATGGAAACATATTACAACACAATTTATATTTGCTAAATATAAACCAAAAATTTGTTCGAAACTTTTATTATTACAAAATAGATTTCTATCAAAACAACAATTAATAGTAACAAATGAGAAAGGAACATCAGGTTTGAATATTTTCTTATTGTCTTTTTTTTTTTTTTTGAAACACGATCTAAAAAAATAGTATTGAAGTAAAAGAGTAAAAATTTAGAGATACTTTTTTATTTTTGTTTTAAGTAATTAGTACATCGTACATATTTCTTAGATAGCTCGAGTTTCCAGTGATAAAGTTATAAGAGATAACAGAGATACTGAACTGCTTGGTCAAGATTACAGTTTGTGACAAAATTTGTTGATATATAATCAAAGATCGTATATTCATAAAATCTCTTTATCATATATGAACTACTTTCTTATTGTATTTCTGGAATACTAAGTAAAAGATTGATGAAGAAATATGTCTTGAAATAGATAGAATAAAATAATCTTCCTATTATTAGTAATAGCAACTGTATCGTGTTACAAAATTTTAATCGTGCAGAAATTACGCTAACAATTTTATTATTAATTAATGAATTTTAATTTTTAGTAAATTTGACATTGCCTAAATTTGTTTCATCACCACCTATATCATCGTTTCCATTGATTTCCAGTTGGTGGTCAGATGAAATGGCATGTAAATTTTATAAATTATTCTTAAATTTAACAGCTCAATGTTCTCGAACACATGTATTAAGTGATTCATCACAACGAATGGATCTGGCTCATCTTAATGAATATCTAACATTAGGATTACTTTCTATTGCTGCTGAAAATGAATTTGGTAATGTAACATGGCAGTAAAATTATTACAAACTTGATCTAACACGTCAGATTATTGTTTATATTTACATCCGGTTTGATTAAATTGATATGTGATTCTTTATTTGTATTGTGTCTATAGTTTGTTTATTTGTGTTTTTTTTTATGGAAGTGTTACTTTTTGTCAGATTGCTAATAAAGTTTTGAAACAAACATTGATGAAATATGATCTTGAGATTTTATTTCAAAGAAAGCATTACGAGAAGCCTTGAAAATCTATGTAAACTACTAGACTTATTTATTGATAGTTTATAACACATGATAAATGTACCAGAAGAGGATTATGATTGTGAACAGTTAGCTGATATTTTCAGCTAGTTGCTCACCCTAAACGTCATTCTCGCCTTCAGCCTAATTCTTTCTGTTTTATGATCGAATGTATATAACAGGATTTATAGGACCATTTACAAAAACATTTCTGAACGTTGCTATTTTCTATCTATTGTATTTTAATCAATATACATTGACAAGATTATTAGTCTTTCTGTTATCAATCAAATACAATCATCGAGATTAATAATGAATTCAAATAAGATAAACATATAGCATTCCTATTAGTAGTAGGTTCATCCTGTTCAATATAAAATTTTATCACAAATATAAAGTTTTAAAACTTCATGGCTTTTTTTTTATGTACAATCACGGAAAGGCTATTACTATTTTACATATATCATCATTAATAACAGAAAACAAAAAATAATTTCATTAGTATAAGTGTCATTGTTTTCTATCTGTATGAATGCATGAATAATGGATAGCCGAAATGGTAAAGAGGAAAAACGAACAGCAATAGATGTTGTAAAACAAGTACCAAATGGTATATAGTCATATTGAACAATTTGTATGATAACTAAAGAATTTGTTCCAAAAGATTTTGATTGACATGAATTTACAGATATGAAATCAACAATCATTGAAAAAGATTATAAAAAAAGGCAAGTAACAATTGATATTGATTCACAAATAATTGATCTAAGAAAATTTATAAGAACTAATAAAAGAATAAAATTTGAAAGAAAAATGGAAAATTAAGTGAGATGAAGGAATTATTATGTCAATAAAACACATGCTAGATTTCATTTACTTGAATTTTATGAATATGGTGAACCAAGAAATAGTATAACAGAATGAAAACTTCTTATACTTTTTGCTTGGGAATAGAATTAATTGATGATGAACTTTTAATTCAAGGCAAATTAGTTAAACATGAATGTAAAAGATCTTGAATAGTTGAACATTGATTCAATTTTTTATTTCAATCTTTTCTTTATCGATTAATATAAACAACACTTCGAACTAATGATATATCAAAAATATCATCTCTTGGTGCACTTCTCGCCTTATTACTTATAAAATTAAAATATAATTACGTAAATATCTTTATAGTTAAAAGTAATGTCTGAAACTTGATACCTATATATCAGCAACCAAAAAATCGCTCAACAGCTGAACAAACTGATGATGCTACATGTTTATTTATTGTACATATTAATGCTATTGACTTATCATCATTAACTTGACAACTTCAAGAACAAGAAATATTTATTTTATTGAATGTATCTTTTCATATAAAAACAATTGTGGATTAAAATGATGATCTTCATTGTCATATAGTTTATTGAACAGTTGAAAATTGAGTTTCTTTTTTTTAATTAATAAATAGTTCATATAATCTTAATACACATAATTAGTAGTTTGTTTAAAACAGAAGTATATTACATTAAAACTAATACTTGAAGACACAATATACATAAGTAATGTATAGAGATGTGCAGGTTAACCTGTTTTTGTATGTTTTGTCTTTCGTAACCAAGGAAGATTTCCAATGGCCAGTTTCCTTGTTCGAGTACCATTATGTAGTAGAATTCGATGAATTGATCGCTATGACATAAAATATTCTTCTTCATAGAATGTCTTTGAAGAGTTAAGTTGACATATGCATCTTTAAAATAATGTTACTAGAGAATCTTGATCAGTTTTGAAAAAAAAACCATTGTTCGATTCCCTACATCCATAATATTAATGGTATTGAAATATTTATAGTATAGATGTTGTTAAGACTTCTATTGATGTTGCTTACGTGAATGTACACAGTTAATTAAGACACATCCAATGTTAAGGTTTTTCATGCTGAGAACGAAACTAACATAGAAAGTAAAGTTTTCGACATACTAACTTACAGACATTTGAAACCAACGTAATTCTTCAGAGATATTCTATGGAGAAGAGCATTTTATGTCATTATAATCAGCTCAGTAAGTGCTATAAATTGCCGTAAAGCTGATTGAAATATGAAAACTTGTACTTGAGGATCTTTCCTCATAAAGTACTTTCTTACCATAGCTTAACTCAATATTTTTCTCATCCTAAATCAGTCTGTGTTGCAGGGTAGAGTAGGATTATTCTGTACATCTTTAGTAATATTTCCGATTTGTATCTTATTTAAATGTATAATAAATCTTGTCTTACGCATTTTTTATGTTAAAAAAGTAGACATGAGTGAGATGAAATTTTTTTTGGGTTTCGACGTCTGCCTTGATAAAGATTTTGCTGGCATATAATTTAATATTATTGTACTAAATGATGTATTTTGATTCATTTAGACACAAATATCTTCCTTTGAACAAAATTCTGCAGACAAATAGCAGAACAATCGTTTTCGTTGTCGATACAATTCATCTGTATAAACAAGGTATCACTGAATTCATTTGATGTTTCCTATAAACTAAATTAAAAATGATTTTAAACAATCAATTTATAACATTACGCCATCTATTGAAGAGAGTTTTAATCGAAATTATAATTGGATCTTATTACTTATATACTCAATGTTATGTTCTATTAACTTCATATTATATCATAACCACTTCATCAGTTGAAAATAAGAATATCATTGCTTATTTTCAAAATAAATTTAAAGAAAATAAAATTCTATACTTTGATAGATTTTATCTAGATATTGACGATTAAAGAAATTATTTCTTTACAATTGATGAATTTCTTTTTTTATATTTATTCATCAACAATCAATTTTTTTTTTCTTTTAGATGGCTTTTATTATTAGTCATTCATCACGATCATTCTTAATTTCTACATTGAACTATTCCTCCAAACTCTTATCATTAAATCATATACGTTATACTTCTACAGATCATCGTCCAATGATGTTAATGGATCTACCTCGTATTGTTTATCCAAACTTTTTTTATACTATAAGAAATTTTTTTTCACGAATAATTATAAGTGGATATTTTGATTCAACATTTGCTATAAAACCATTTTCTGATGGTGCACGACAAGCATTAACCGTTGTTTCACGTCTTATTGGTAATAATCAATTTGATGACCTATCAGGATTGGTTACACAACAGGTAGAAAATTAAATTTTAAATAAACGAAAAAAAAAAAAAACTATCATCATAAGAATAATGAATTAGGCTATCAATGAAATCAAGAAAAATTATGAAAATTTAACATCAGAACAAAAACAAAAGATTTCTGTTGATGAATCTGAAATTGTTTTTACATATCCATATTTAATTGGTATGATTATGGATGAACAAAAAAGTAAAAATTGAAAAGGAAAAAAAATTTCATCTTTCTAAATTAAATCTTATTTTTATAATTGTTTTAGACAGTCGTTTAGTTGAAATAACAATGATTTTTCATATTTTAAAAGATCGTAATTCATATCAAGAAGAAATGCTTCATGCTAAAGGTGATTCTATTACAAATTGGACAGCTACAATGAAAAAAATGCGTGATAATATTGTTGTTTGTAATTATAAATTTTTACGCGATATGAGTAAAAATGCTAATGATGATAGTTGGATTATTACTGGACTCAATCATTGGTTACCAAGTGAATATGAACAGCAATAATAACAACATTATTATTTTTCTTTTTTTTTTGTTTGTATTATAAAAAAAAAGAAGATTTTTCTTATACTTATTTGGTATGATGAGAAATTTTATTTTGTTTAATAGGATATTTGAAAAACCAAACTTAGAAAATCTTACAACTTTGTATTTTCAGATTATTTTGTGGTTTAAAAAAAAATTCTTTCATTATAATTTAAAAGTTAAAGAGTTCTTGTTTGAGTAAGTTTTACAAATAGTGTTTTAATGAACATAATTAAAAAAAAATATATATAATTTACAGTTCTTTGTGGAAGTCAAATGAGAGAAGATTCTATATGTTAATAAAAAAGCAAAAATACCCTAATTCAGCGTACTCGTGGGATATGTTACAGCTATCCTTTATAGCTTTTTTAGCTATTTGAAATCTATGATCAACGTATGTTAAGAACATATTAGTTTGAGTTCATTTTGTATAAGTCTGTCTAGCAATAAAGTTCAAATGGGTCGCGTTCACTTGGCCGACAATCACTTAGCCGACACAGCATTTGGCCGACATATACAGTTCGCCGATAACTCATTTGGCCGACAAATATTGGAAGTCCAAAAAAATGAAATTTCTTGAAAATATTGCGTCAGAAAATCTTTTTAGGGTGTGGGTGTGAGGTGCGAGTGTGGGTGTGAATGATAGTGGGTGAACAGAGGACCCACACCCAACTATCGATGTTCTTCGGGGCATTGCTCATAATCTTTCATTATAAATATTTGTGACTCTTAATAAAAAGATTTTCTGACGCAATATTTTCAAGAAATTTCAATTTTTTTGACTTCAAATATTTGTCGGCGAAATGAGTTGTCGACGAAGTGTACATGTCAGCCAAACAATATGTCGGCGAAATGGTGTCGGCCAAGTGATTGTCGGCCGAATGATCCGGACCCGTTCAAATACTTCATCGTACTTTACTGATATATTCGTGACATACGTTGATAGTAGACTTGAAGTAGCTAAAAAAGTTTAAAGGATAGCTTTGAAATATATTTTGAGTATGTTACAGTGTGAAATTTTCATCCTTCTCTCCTTCTAAACAAATCCGAGAAAAAGATAATGATATAAAATGTGAAAA